CGTTTTAAAATATCTACATTATCAGTAGGAATTTTTTTCTTAAGAATGTCTACAAAAAACCTGAAGAAAAATGCTTACAACTAGACAACACAAGTACTACTTATCACCAATCATGGGAATATAAATAAAACTAGTTTGGTCAGCTTTCTTTTGCTGTTATAGAATGCAAACTAAATATAAACACTTCAGTCGAAAACAAAACATTGGTCAGGTTAAAATAAACAGATGAGATACCGGTTCTTCGTCTTGATTTTTTATAATTGATGCTAACAGTAATTTTAAACTTGTGCATTTCATGGATGTTACAAAATCTGTTGAATAAAAAACAATACGTTGGTAATTTTCAAATATCCACCTACAAACAAAAATCTGACTATATGAAATAGACAAAACATATACATGATAATATTTAACATGGTGTACTGGATGCCACTCACAAGGACGTTTGTAAGTAGTGTGTAGCGGAATGTGGTGTCAAAGTTGCCATAGTTGTCGAACAGAGTGAAGGGTTGGAAGCATGACGTCGGCAGAATACTTGGAGGCCAGCCGAGAAGACAGTTTAGATTGCAGAACACACTTACTTATTCATTTTACCCCTCGTGGAGAAGCTGTGGTGGTTCATCAGCACTCTCCATCCAAACCTGTCATGCCAATCCTTTACGGTTGTTTTCAGTCGCCATTCATCCTTTTGATGGATGCGTCCAATTCCCGACGCAGTATGTTCTTTGGTCTTCCGCCTTTCCGTTTCCCTCCAGGATTTCAAGTTGGCGCTTACTTCGTAATGCAGTTTGATGATTTTCGTAATAAATGTCTTATCCACCTCCAATGTCCTCTCCTAATTTCCTCTTCAGATGGAATCTGTTTTTTCTCCACACTAGTCTGTTGTTAATGGTATCCAACCAACGGACATTGAATGTTTACAGAACACATCGGAATATGCAAATTTATACTCAAAGGATATGTTTATGTATTATGTAAATACATTGCAACTTTGCACAATAGCATTATATAACAAAATATTGAAATTTTAGATATTTATTTTGAGGAAATTGAAATTGATCTATTTAATAAATCTTCAAAGTGTAGATTATAAAACAGTTTCTATTGTAAAAATTAGAACGTGACATTTGATCCGGCTATTCTCTGTTGATTTTTAGTAGGCTAATAGTAGTCGATAAAGTAAAATATAGTGTAATTCGTATTGTTAACGACACATGTGTATTTAGCGAATACCTATATAACTGGTAAAACATGATACATAACTTTATTCGATTAGATATACTGACAGTGGGTAAATGGTGGGCCAAACTTAAATTTTTAAAAGTGTGATCTTAACTTCAGCATATAACAGGAATTATAGACATTCAAACGAACAACCATAATTATTGTATTTGAACAAATTATGTACAAATATTCTCCATTTTCATGCTCAAGAAAATATCAGTATATAACTTTACCAAATTTTAATGCTGTTATTCCCTTCAGTTTTCTTCTACATATCCCTTGTTTATTATTTTTGTATTTAAAATTGGCTTGGTAACACAACATTTTGTCTTCAGTGTACTACATAGCATTTCATGCCTACCTTTCCAAAACTTGACCTACTTTAAACACTGAAATATTTACTTATTTTGTTATTCTATTAAAATGATAAGGGCAGACAACTAAAATTTCATATTATGATTGACTTTCACATTTTTCTTTATAATGTATCTGTTAAAAGAGTTTTCTGGCAATGATACATATATAGCAGTACCCTATGTTCAACTATTTAAACAATATCACTTGTAGATAATCAATGTAAAAACTAGGTTTCTAATTCAAAAGTCTACCTGAGTTGTTTTTAATTAAATCACTGAGAAATACATGTTTCATTAAATTTATGACTTTGGACCTTATCACTTCCCATACTGTGATTGTTTTAAAAAAATATGCTTACTATCAGTATTAGCATCATCTCAGTTATGTAACTTATAAACATGTACAGATTTCATTTCATCGAGGAACTAAGAAAAAAATCATGGATAATATGAAATTCTTGATTTAAAAGATTGATGTAATATAATGGAAAGGTTGTAGCAAAGAATACAAACGAACAATATGTGATGTTAATTCTCACAATAATCTAGGTCTTACAACACCATGAAAACACTAATGACCTAAAACCTAGTTTGTCACTGAAAATTTGTTATTTAGCGAAAGAAAAACTCTTCATATCCTATTAGTTAAGGTTTGAGTTATTATATTGTTGATATACTTGACTGAATATTTATCAATCTTTGTTGGCAATATGTCCATTATATGATGACTGTCTCAATACATCCATTTTGTCATAAGTTATTTAGGATAAATGTGCTGTTGTTATGTAGCTGTGAATATCAATAACAAAAAAATTCTTGTTTAATATCCATCAAACAAGTTAGTGATTATTTCAAAATCAATGGCTTGGTAAATAACGAAGTAACGTGTGGAAGATACTGGGTTTCAGTCTCAGTATGAATGACAACATCTAGATGTATGTACATCCAGCCGAAAAGTCCTAAGTAAGATGAAACACGTGCCCTAAATTTTACTGCTAGCCATAATTTATCCACTGTATACAACTCTTCATTTTTTTTCTAAATCGATTCATATTTTAGGGAAATGTGGTTGAATCATTTTTTGTGATAATCAGTTCAATGACAGAATAAATTGTTTAATAGGATTGTTCAGATTATTCAACAATTTGAGTCAAGATCTGAAGTACAGAAAGTTTTACTTCGTCGGTCGTTAATCTAAAATCTTAATACTCCATAAAATTACTTTTTATCAAAAGTAATCTATAAAAGCCTAACACAATACATACATGAGATGCACTATAGAAATAAGTTAGTATTTTCTATTTCTTAATTTGACTGATATGTAACTGGTTACAAGTATCAAAACACCAATGTAACTGACACTGTATGTGAATAGAAATTAAAGAAAATGACGACTAAGTAAACGTTGATGTCGTTGTCCAGAAAGATAATAAGAACTTACAAATTAAACCATTTACCTCAGAGAAACATAATAACACTAAAAGCATCCACCTAAAATATAAATCTTCATTATTATCGCACTATGTTTGTATAATTTATCATTGCAGATACAGATTTCCCTCCCCACTTGTTATTTGAATTAAATATATAGTATTATAGTTGCTCTCTTTAAGTGATAAAGTATGCTTTAAGTTAGTTTTCGTAGTTAAACTTCAGATCTTTACTCTCTAGGTTACATACAATAGTTTAAACATGACGAGTAGTGCACCAACCTTCATAGTCAATCCCAAAATTTCGTAGATTGGCAAGTGTCTTACAAACCTATCATCCTACATTCACTTATATTTGACAAAACTCAATCATGTTTATGATCGTATTAAGTATTTCTTTGTGTATGTTTATTACTTATTCATAGAAAAGTAACTTTTAGCTGCCCAGTTGTTCTATCTTCTAAAATTCTCTCATTTTAGAACATATGGTTACACAACACATCAATTTATAAAACTGAATCATACATTTGCAATTACATACAAGTTAACTATTTCCTCATAAAAACAACCAAATTCTTTTTTATAATTTCAAATAACTTCATTAATCTCCATATCATGAGTACCATTTATATATTTGTGATTTTGATTAATTGACCGAAGAAGTTCGTAGTAGTTTGCTAAATGAAACGTTTGAATTATTTAGATCTTATTCTATGAGATTGTTTTAAATATAATTTTAGCATCTTATGTCTTTCATATACTTAGAGTCCAATTCCTATCAAACTATTAGTTTAAATTTTGACAGACGTTTATATGAACTAATCATATGTATCATACCAAATTCCCTATTCAAACGTATTTAATAATCAACTCTTCTTTTTCTCTTACGCTAAACTTTATGACCTTAATTTTTTTATTCAAAATGATTTGTCTACTTGTCTATTGTATTATGACAGAGAAATGATTAACCTCACAGTGATTATTGCCATGGTTAGAATAACTTAGAATTGATAGGTTTCTTGTTTTTTTTTCCATTTTTTTTTCTTTTTCAAACTCAGAACAAACTTTCTTTTGAAATCACAAATATTTTGTTTATTCCCTAATTTATCTATGTGTGTATACATATACATACACACGTGAATGTGTACCACTTCAATCAGTATATCTTTTCATGATATGTATTAGAAAAGGTGTAATATTTCTCAGTACCATTTAGAGTGCATAATAAAATTTTACTAAAATAAAAATTGTTTACAAGGATGCACAAATGCTAACAGTTTACACTGATAATTTGTACTTTATGTCTAAGTTACAAAATATTTTATTTAAATGTATATTTAGTGATATATCAGTTGGGTAACTTAACATAATGTGTAACACAAAACTGAGTCAGTTAAGCTTATCACACTTTGCAATAGTTTGGTGAAATTCAATAAAAATAGTATACCATTAAAGTAGATAAGATGAAAAATAGAAATGAAATATTCCAAGGTATAAATCACATAAAGATCATCTTTGGAAGTGATGTCAAATTTAATCCATGTTAAATAGTGTCTGAAAAGAGAGGTTTACAACATCTAGTATAATCGAAGCTAATAGTTAAGGGTTGATCTCCTACTTAAAGACTATTTTCAACATGGAGCACATGGAAGAAATAGTTCCATCCTTTAAAACTATTATGTTTTAAGCACATTGAGAGATAGTGTAAGAATATTTGACGCGTTTCATTTTCAAAACGAATTACAGATTACCTTTAAGATTACTGCTCCATATTCCATAGTGTTTAATCATTTTTCAGATGATAATGGTTCGTAATAAAAAAACTAAAATCAAAGACCTATATTCTGTCTATAAATTCTTCTACCTTAATCGCAAAATATCTCAAAAAATAAGTTAACAGAGCAAAACCTAAAGGACATCCTACTAACTACTGAAAACAATAATCTTTTTGCCAAATGAAACTCTATAAGAAGCTGAAAATCTTTCTTACCATATTTCATTAGTGATGTGATAGGTTTTAGTAATGCTTCAGTAATCGTTGTATTATCAGGATGTATGTTATAAATTAAATATAATATATCAAATCCATTTTTCTTCTCTTTCTTCGATTCATCTTCTTCCACTTCATCAGTAAATTGTAAAGCAAAATATTCTAAAATTCATAACATAAAAAATTAATGGAAACTGGAAAATTACACCTAAATCATGCCAATTACTGAGAAAACATTTAACACCATAAAATTACACAAAAGTAAGTTTTAAATAAATAACTACAGATGACTGGGAGCTTTTTGTTTGTTCGTTTAATAGTCATTCTTACAATAAATCAATCAGTTAGCCCTTATCAAACTGGAGCCTAGCACAGATGTACATTAGCTCACGTTCTAACACCAAATTAGGGCTAACACTAGGTTAGAATAACGACATGAATAACAAAACCGGTCGAAAATAATGGAATGACAATTATAATGAGTAAAACTGAATATTGAGGTCATAGTTTAAGATGAATGAATGAAAAGGTATGTATGACGAAATGCTAGAATTCAAAATCGACAAGTATATTGTTACTAAGTTTACAAATCAATTTACCAATAACAAGAAACTTCAAAATATCTACAGATATAGTTGTTTGAATTTTAACTGAAAATGACCAACTTTTTTTATAGTACATGAAATATAATCGTTATTGATGAACAAAGGAACCTACTGCCAATGATTGATTGATTTAATGAGTAAAATCAAGAAAAACAAAATATCAGTCTGACATTTAACTAACCAGTTATTACAATTACACAATCTAAACATACATTTACCCTGATAGAAAAGAAACAATTTACAACTTATCATCATGAAAAACTTCCTCAATTATTGGTAAATTTTTCTTCTTGTCTAAATTCCAGTAGAACGAAGTGTAATTAGATGCGCACACTTGGTGGAATAAAAGTACTTTACAAAACTGTATGAGATATACAAATTATGCTGTAAAAATATCATTTGACAAAGAACTATTGTGAAAACTTTGCGTCTAAAAACAAGCAATCATTAATTAATTATGTAAATGTATCTTATTAAAACACATTTTGTGAATGTTTCAGTCAGTCAGTCCTGATCAACTTAAAGCCTGGAATAAATATGCGTTTATTTACATTACCATATCATATTGGTACGACGAAATGAAATTAAAAATATGTGTAGCAAAGCAATCGAAGTAGTATAGTAGCGGCGACTAAGTACTGAAAATTTGGTTAGTATACGGATTTTATGGAGATTGTTGAATTTTCATGGTTTACATCACCGAATACTCTTAGTTAAACAATAATCGAAAACTGAGAAGCGTTGAATAATTATTTCGTCCCAATACAAAACTCAGAATTGTAAATCCTCGACCGTGTATACAAAAATTGAACCCAGGACCTTTGGTCTTGCGCTACCATGCTTAACCTTTAAACCACAGAGCGGGCATCTAAAGCTATTATTGTCCAACTTTAATAGATTCATGACATTGCGTAAGCTTTATCCATTCCCTATGGTGTATAGCTGTCACATGCTTATCATGATTGTACTCCATCAGTCACGAATTCTTACTAAAACTTAAAGAGTTGCGTTTTGAAGCTTGTCACTAATAAACATATGGCTATTATTAATATATCCATTTGTTTCAATCTTAATTTATTGAAATAATGATATAATATGAGATCATTATTAAATTTAACGAATACGTAATAACGACAGGTTTTTCGCTTATTTTCAGGATAGAATGATTATCTTGGTTAAATATGATCATTTTAACATTGGCTTATTCTTCACGTTCTCACTAAGATCATTACAATGTCAAAATGATAGACAAATTAGAAAAATAATAATAATGACATAGTGAATAAATAAATTGAATTACATAACATGTGAAGATGTATGTTAGATACATAGACTATTATAATTATCGTTATTTTATTGTTTAAGTTTTGTTCAAGCATAAAATTGACAAGAATTCTCTCCTTTTATTGTTATCAGAAATATTTTCATCAATTTAACTAGTAATAAAAAAACGAAACAATAAACCAATTTTCATTGTTTTCATAGTAAAAACTGAATTAAACTATTGAAAGTAAACAAAAATGGATAGTGGCTACCAGTGTAATCTAGAATGCGCATTTCATCCTATTTGAACTATCCATTTTTGCTTATAAAGCTTGTGAATTAAGGCAATAGGCACAGTATACACATATGCCAATAACAGACTGATCATTTGCTGTCTTAAACCTCAATTGGAAGATTCAAGCAAACAATACCAAGTGAATATTGAAAGTAAACTTTGAATTTATCAAAAAAATAACAAAGAAAAAGACGAAAAATGAATTTTCCCTAAAACAACTTTAGATTATAACAGAAAATTGATTGGTTTCATGGAAAAAAGAAAGAAAACTTGTTTCATGTGTTACATCCTATGAGAAAACATAGTTAAAAGTTTTGCTTTAAAATGACAATAACTGAAATGAATTTTTGCATATTTTTATTATTTGAAAAAAAAGACGAAAATTTGACTAGTCTAATCAGTGTACGTACAGATAAGCACAAACACACGTAGTGACATGTGACAGGGTATGAATGCTTAAAAACAGTCAACTGTTTATAAAATGTGAACTGACTTCATTGGTTTGAAATCGTATTTGTAACAATCTTATCTCTATGCATTAACACACCAAGTATTTAACATATATATTAGTCAAAAATGGATAGTGGCTAGCAGTGGAATCTAGGATGCGCGTTTTGTCCCATTTGGGGTTAGTCAGCTGAATATACCTGCATTTCAAAGTTTATGTCCACTCCGGGACTCGAGCCCAGTGCATTCCCTTCAAACACCACTTAGCTGCTCGGTCCATTTGAAGAGAACTACACCAGATTCGTTTCCCGGAATGGACATCAACTCTGGAATACAGGTTCATCCGGCTGAGCCACAAATAGGACACAACGCGCGTCCTGTTTCCCACTGCTAGCCATCATCCATCTTTGTTTGTAATGCTTGTAAATTAAGGCAATATCGATGCAATCCACATATGCCAACAAAAGACTGATCAATCTTAGTCCTAAACATCAATCGGAAGGTTGGAACAAATATTACAAAAAGAATTAGTAAGTCATAATACTGATTATTAGAAAAAATGGTTGCTAATGTGTCTTTAGGCTTAATCGACTCAATTCGAAACAGTTGATTAACTGGCTGAAATTTCACTTATCCTTCAAAATTATGCAGCATACAGATTAATTTAAATTACGGCAAAAAGGTAATCCGGCGTTTAATTTTTTATGATAACATACCGTTATGTGAGCGGTGTAAACAGCATCCTGACAATTTTTTAGTTCATATATTGATATATACTTGATATCAATCAAATTAAAACTTACGCAATCACCACAGTTAAGAACGTCAGTTTATGAATGTGATGAATGTAGTTGTAGAAAGGCATTCACTAATGTGTCATTACCAACCATCTTTCGTAATGTGTAATAATGACTATAAATATTAGTAAATGAAATCCATACATTAAAAGGCTTGTTCCACCGATGTAAATTTAAGCGGAAAAGCAAATAATTTCCTCGTAAAAACTTTCAGATTCCAAAACATATCTTCTACCAACGATGAATATAATTTAATCAACGTTAGATATGTTCATTTGGATTGTTTTTATATTAGCTGCCGAAATTTTGGAAAAAGATGGGTTAACTAGTAGAATAAACTGTTGCTCAGACTCCTTGAATTTTTCGAAATGTTGCGAAAACTCTTTCTTGAATCCTTAATCTGACGAAATAAGTAGACTATGTTTAGCAAAGTGATCTCAAATAGTTTATTTTACATCAACATTTCTTAACGATACCGCATTCTGTTGTCGTTACGCGTCTATGTCAGAAAACGCTGATAATGTATATTTTTGAGCTCAAATCAGTAGTATATTTTACGAAGTGATAATTTTAAAAATCATAAATCATTCAGATGAGGAACGGACAATAGACAATAATCTGATCCAGGTATTATTAATTTAAAGGATTTACATCTCAAAATTGATATATTCAAAACTAAATAGACCAGCTTTTGTTGACATGTAAACTGTTTGAACAAATACACCAATACCATTTGAATAAATGTATTTTGATTTTGACTACAAATGAACCCAAGAATGTAAATTTCGTCCTACAAGTTCGTATAATATTAAAGTGTAAATAAAAGACGCTCACAGTTTACTAAATGTTGAATAACAATAACAACTCAATGAAAAAGTGAATTATAGGGGATTTTTAAGTTTGTCAAATGAAAAGACACATCAGCTTAATAAAATATAATTCATATCAGTTATAAGATAATCATTAACATTGAAACAAAAAAGATAGACATATACCAATGATGACTGATTCTTTTATCGTTTGATTCTTTTTATTTTCTGCCGAAATATGTACAATTTTAGATGATGTTGTCTAGCTTAGATCGATTTGTGATTTCAATGATATTTCTAAAGATTGTTCTCGATTAAACCCTTCTTTGAAATATCATTTAAACTCACATATTTTGAGAATATCTCATATAAGTAAAGAGAGATTTCTACATCACATAATTATAACCATTATTAATAATTTCATACACAAAGAAAAACGCATACGCACATATAGAAGATATGTTAAAGACTTACCGGACAAAGATATTACAACTTGTAAGCATAGACATATATTCCAGATAGTTATTGGTAAATTTTTAAATTGAATTAAACCATTCAGTAGAATATAGATTAACTTATTGTATTCTATAATCTGCCTTTTAACTTTATCTTGATATGTAATAAAGAAAATAATTATTCATACTTTAAATCGATAGAAATATAGTTTCTATTGGAACATTATACACATTTCTTTCACTTAAGTATCAAATCAAAGAAGATCTGTTTATCAAATATAATTCATATTTGATAAAATAATAGAAAATTTATTTGATATAACATTTCAGATTTATAAAATAAACAAATAGATAAAAATTTAGTAGTTGAATTCATGAGTCAATTGAAGTTAGATCACCATGGAAAACCGGAGAGCACTGGACGACCGTTTCTTCCTAGTTTGAGACTCTACAGCCGTGAGCATCCGCGATCTCGCATCGCGAGATTTGAATCCAGAACCTATCGGTCTCGCACGCGAACGCCTAATCTCTAAACCAATGAGCCAGCATCCAAGGATGTTGATATCTAACTTCAACCAGTTAGCATTTTTTAAAATCATATCTTCAATCATTGCATGAAAATTGTTTTTTTTAAATTGATATTTAATTTGCTTATTTTAGAAGTAAAAACATTTTGACAACAATGTTTATTGTGAAATGAACACTGAGATTATACTATCGCAAACATGAATTCAAAACTGTCAAGTTAATCGTTTCATATAAAATCATTCAGTATAGAAGGAGGATGACTTGTGAGTTTACATAAATTAGATGTTCAACGTACTCACCTACAATGCCATACAGATCAATAAATTTTTACGACATGGTTCAATGATAGATTTGCTAAGAGAATCTTTGAAGATCCCAATTCCGAATTTATGTGCGGTTGAGGAATTGCTCTGCTATGAATTCCGAAACTGATACTAAATAAGTGGATTTCCTCCAATGTTCTCCGGTTAAAGTCAGTCAGTAACGAAAATTACTTAAAAACTACCAAAATGACAGATTTCATCAAAATAATGTTATTTAACGTTCATAGTTTTCTACTCGAATAAGAATTAGACTTACCAATGAGTTCGATGAAAAAAAAATTATTGACATTGATGACGTTTCACTTCATGCGATCAATATATTATTTCTATTTCGATATCAAAACATTCATTTATGTATGTATTTGGCATTTTCATTCCAGACGTAAACAACATTTAAAGATTTATATTTCCATTTCAGATTCAGATTTAATAGTGATGACACTTATCTATCACAATTGTTATATTTCATAATAATTTTCAGTTATAAAGTTATGTGCCATTCAGGAACTTGCTATATTATTAAAAGAAGTCTAGTTTCAAGATGTCATTTTTCCTTGATGAAATCATATGAAAAAAATTTTTATTTACCCTAAGATCTGATGTTCTATACAGTACAAAAGATATGATATTTTTTTAAATATGAAACGAAGAATAGCCAAATGGTATAGTACAAATTACTCATTCAATACGGAATTATTTGACCTTTGATAGAATTTGGTAAATTGAACAAATAACATCTTAACAGTTCAGTATTGTAGAGCTGAAATTCAGAAAATGTTTATCTTTTCAGAAAATAAAACCATTCCGATGAAAAACTAGAACTTTATTGAACATCTAAGTATTCATATTTATCTCTGGGTCATGTGAATCATAGTTTCCTTTGGTAAATATCAGCTTTCAGTGGTGACAACAATATTCTCCCGTATATTTGTTGACTATTTAGTGAAACTATAAATGATACTAATTTAACATCAACTCAAAACATTAATAAATGCAAATTATTAAACTTACCAATACGTAATAAAGATACAATAATCATAGAACCATTTGTAAAAATTTCACTGTCAAATTTATTAGACTCCATTAGTTGCACAGTGATAGATAATGTGTCTTTATCGGCTGCTTGTAGAGCAATCGGTTCTTAAATAAGAAAAAATAAAAGTAACAACAAAAAATAAATAAATGTAACTAGTTAGGCTACCGTTTTGATATTAAATTAGATTTAGCGTAACGGATGCAAAGTAAATTTCTATTACCAATCGGTCTATAGAGTATTTTACTTAGTTGTTATGGAATCGAAAGTCAAGCTATTTTATTTTTAAAAAATCATGCAGTACTAGATTATTCATAGCTACGTCTAACATGTTAGCTTATTTTCAAGGAAACAATAACTGAAACTTGTCGTTTTATGGCAAACGCTACTCACAAGATTGATTATAAGTAGTAAGTAGCGGAACGTGACCTCGGAGCCTTTACAGTCGTCAGATGGAGAAAAGAATTTCAGTATGTCAAAGGTACGGCATATGCACAACACTTGATGGTCAGAGGAGAAGACATTAGGATTGCAGAACGAACTGCAAGATGCTAATATATAAGCAAATGCTATATATACATAAAACGTGAACAATATGTAATCTCACCCAATACCTTTTTCAATAGCTTCATTTCATACTTGTGAACTCCATCATAACTGGATATTTTGACTTTTCATACATGAACTAAACTATAAAATAGTGTCATCATTTAGTATGTTGTGAATCCTATAGACATGTAAGGTAAAGCATAGGTTATTGATTCCCAATGTTAAACACATAAGTTCAGATTTAATTATATTTCTATTGTCTGCAATGGAAACCATTTTAAATTGAATAACCCATATAAATCCAGCTAACTTATATGATAATAACATTTTTCACATTAAATACGATATTTGTAAAGGAATATATTCATTAAAGAAGAAAGATATACACATATAGGTCGAATAACATTAATAATTTATACGCACTAATCACACCTAAAAGAAATAAATAATGTCATCTTTTTCGGTAGTTTGTTCACACGTACTGCATAAGAAGTAATTCAGAACCAAAATGTTTCAAAATATTCGAATGTTTGAAAAATCAAAGCCTCAATCGGTCAGATCATCATTCAGTCACGAAACATAACTCATATATCCAGTATCCAAATACAACTTGTTTTTTTAGTGAAGACTAACAACAATTTTTAGCAGCTCAAATTTAAATATGTAAAGCTCAGTCAGTTGTTTAATCACACAATCACTGTTTTACTATAGAGCATAAATAAATTGTTCTTAAATATATTTTATTTGATAACATATTTTTCTGCGAACAAATAAAAAAAACTAAAAAAAGGTTAAGCGTTCGTGAGCTAGACTGATAGGTCCTGAGTTCAAAATCTCGCGGGGGGTGGGATCCTGAATGCGCACTACTCAGAAATCCAATTACTAGAATGAAACAGTTGTCCAGTACTTCCAGGTTTTCCAATGGTGATCTAGCTTCAATTAACTCATAAATTCAATTATTAAAAAAATACTTATTAAAAACAAACAATTAATTTATATGCAATGATGGATAGTGTCTAGCAGTGAAATCCAGTTTCGTCCTATTTGGGACTTGTCAGCTGGATGTACCTGCATCTCAGAGTTGATGTTCAGTCTGACACTCCAACCCAGTACCATTCACTTCAAACTTCAACGCGTTATCCACTCAGTTACTGAGTCCTGATAGCCACTTGCTTGTGCAACGCATGTCTTAAATTCCACTGCTAGCCACTATCTATCATTGCTTACAAAAAGCTTGTGAATTAAAGCAATATCGAGGCATACGCACAGTATGCACATATGTCAATAACAGACTGATCAATTGCAGTCTTAAACCTTAATGGGAAGTTACAAGTCAAACAATACCAAGTGAATTAATTTATATATTTGAAAAAAAAAAGAATTAACTTACCATAGATACAAAATTTCCATAAATAACTAATACCTATTTTAATTATATCTTTATTCGTTGTATAATTCATTAATTCAATTAAATGATGACATAAATTAATTGTATAAAGCTTTTTAAATATTTTATTATTTATTTGTAAATAATCATTTATTATATTTAAATTAATAAATGTAGAATAATTTTTATTGATAAGTGAATTGAAAAATTTTAAGCCTAATCTTTGTACATTGACATATTGAAAATAGTTTCGCAATATGATTAATACAAGATATAAATTGTTTATTTCACAAATCTTTTTAAAGTAATTACTTTCTTTTAATAGTTTATCTGACGATGATGATGATAATGATGATGATGAAGAAGAAGAAGAGAAATATCGGTTACTAACATCTTCACGAGAATGTCTTGAACATGTTAACATAGATTGTAATTGTTCATTTTCAATAGAATGAATTAATATCCTTAAAGATGATGTAATAATTGACAGATTAGCTTTATGTAAATACATTAGTTGAAATAAATGAGATGATAATCTATGTGTTAAATTCATATGCTTATCGTTCAGAATATTTTCTGCGAACCAAACAACAGCTTTCTCAATACAATTCTCATGTTGCCAATTGATATGAAAATATTTGATTTTTGCTTCCATATTATCATTCACTGGGAAAGGTTCTTTAAAATCAAAGAGAAAAATTCTTTTAATAAAGGTGTAAATGAGCGTTTCATAATATTCAAGTTATACGTTACTACTTACGTCATATTAATAATAAACTGAAGATATCATTCTGGAAGAACAAATGAATTCCCAGAATAAAAAAGTATAAGATCATTTCAAAATTCGAGATCTAAAAAAAGACAAAGAGTAAATATCCCTAAGTGATTGTGAACACTTCTGAGGTATGTTACTGATTGTCCGCAACTGTTAGTTACTATCATCGCTCATGCACTAATGTGGTAGTCTGTACCTATTCACTTGGCTCGACTCAAACTTTGTGAGTTGATACAATTCATAAGGTGGATTCAGCGACATACTGTCACATCGTTTGCATGGTATTAAAACCTGAAAGTTTAAGTCCTATTACCATTACAACAAATTCAGATGACTGAGTCAATAATTTACATTTCTAACTTCAATAAAATTGCGATATATTGATTTCCTAAACCAACGTACTTGATCCACCACATTCTCGATCTTCACTTGGTTGATTTCATACTCTACAGATTCTCAACAGACCTAATAAGTTGATTTTCGGTGCACTACTGAGGAGAAACAAACTATGATGAATTAATGTTCTAGTACTTGATACTTTCAATGAATCTCTAACTAAACTTATCTTGCAATTAATATTACCTTCAAAATATACGAAGTAACTTCTTGTCCTGATATGAAACAGTAAAAGAAACTTTCATTTAAGCTTTAAACCAATCAGTCAGTCACACATTTTCTGTTGTGCTTCATACAGACAGTAAACTACAACTCACATATCTTTTTGGTAACTATTTTAATTTTTTTAATATTTTAACCTCATACTAACATTCACTTGTTAATTCTATATAACGACACTGTCATTAAATTCAAAGAATTTTTCCTCAAAATCAGTTTTCTCAAGTTAGTCAATAACATTGAAACGTACCATAATCAAGTGATATGCAGCTTAAAATTCTCAGATAAACGTAATTACTACAAGGATAGGTGAGTTCGATCATAACTCAACATATAATACCGATTTCATCTACCATTAGTATGCGTCATTAAGATTTGCCAAAAACACAGATATATTAAAGTTTTCGACAAATACTAATAACTTGATGTGTAACGGTAGTTACCGTAGGAAACGATTCGAACAAAGCTAAGAGTGATCGAACAAATCTGTTGCACTAGTTCATAAAATCACTAATTATTGAAATAAATCGTGTTGAGGAAGTAAAGATATCGTAGTTCATTCTTTGATTTCCTCTAAATCTACAATTTCTGTATTATTCCATACGTTTCTTTTCCTTATTTTACTCCGAATTTAGAACGGTAATAATAGTTGTTCATAGGTAAACTTGACAGGTTATACTATGATGTTAAGTATACCCATTTTAATATCTAGTTATTAATAAACTTCAGTCTTGGGATATATTTCCCCTCCAATTCTTTTTAAAGAAATAAAAACACATATCCAACAGACATTACAGTAAAATTTATGAAAAGAATTAAAAAGCACGAAATCGTCAATCATACATAAAGCCACAGCAATTTATAAAATTTTAGTTATAAACATTTTTATCAGTAAATGGGTCCAGTGGTCCAGTAGGTTAAGCGTTCGCGCGCGAGACTGGAGGTCCTGGGTTCGAATCCCGCGAGCGTGATCACTCTGTGATCTCAATTATAAACATTTTTATTGCTACACTGAGCAATAATTTAAATACAATAGGTGAACATTATCAATCAAATCATGATATTTATCCAGACTATGGTCATCTAAGTAAGAACTTGATAGCACATTTATTTCTCAAATACAAACACAGTTTTATTCGCTTTAAGAGCATTATTCAACTGACTTAGTGAGAGTCCACAGAGTAAGTGTATCAAATAGATTTTATTTTGCGTTAGAAAGCAATAATATTTGTACACATTAGCAGGTATAAATGTATTTCGTAAGTGTGGATAAAAAAACTTTTAACCACAAAGTGCTGAATTAATGCTGAATTAGATTGCCTACACTCTACCATACATGCTTATCGAATAATATATCATCCAATTAACAGGTTATTGAGAAAGTAAAAGAAAGAAAATTTGGTAGAAAAACAACAGATCAATCAGTAGCTTCTGATTTGGTGAAGTGGTCAAGCTTGCCATCCATAGTCACTCTATCGAGCTCTAATAGCTGGAATACTTGTTCCTTGAGCTTCCAACAAATCGTTTGAAGAACGATGAAACTAAAACCTATGGTCCGAGAGCGATGTTATACCCCTTACTGTACTTAGGCGCGACAGAAGACAGCAATGAGACTCTAGATTCCTAACTAATGAAGCTTGTTGTTTGGTTTTACGTAAGGTTCGAACATTCAAAACTTTAATATAAAGTCCAAAACTCTGCTGTCAGAAAATCACGAAGAACATTTCCTTAACTCAAATCTTTAGTATCGGTGGCACGCGGAAAAAAGGTGAGGCCGTTGGAACAGGGGTGATAGTGGGGATAGAAGAGATCCTAAGATAGCTTAAAGAGATTTTGTCGTGAACAAAATAACCTAAAGTCCTGTTAGACGTATGTGAAAAGCCGTTACTTCCTAGTTCCTGACACGGCAAAAAGGGACTTTCTCTTGAGATACATGGGAAGGAAACTGGGTGAGTGATGATCTTGTTGACCTGGTAGCTTGGTCCCAGATTTCGAAGGACAAGTGCTTGAAGCCTGTCTCAAAAATTTTGGGGTATTTCGTGATATGTTAGCTCCGTAGGGCAAGACAAGGTATACCATTTTCAGGATTGACATCTAAACTGATTTTGGAGCAACATTTAGCACTTATACAGGGACAAACAGATCTCAAACACAGTATTGTTCCTCAAGGCAACTGGAAGACTATATTTTACTAGTGTCTTGATTAAGAGGAACTGTATTGTCCCCCTACCCTAATTCAACAAGGAGATCTCCCAGAAATATATCAACCTCTGAAAATTCAGAGGGAGGAAGCGACTTTGGTAATGGAAAATATCTCACCATGTCAAATATGAATAGCGTCAATGGATAACTCTAACGAACATCAATTGACGCTATCAGTTCTGATGACAGTTCACCATGACTTGTGATTCAAGTAAAGATCCTTCACAAGGTTCATATACTTTTTTCGTGCTCCTTCCAACGATATTCACTGTTATAAAACCTCTCAACCAATGAAAACGAATGCTGCCAAAGGGTCAAGAAATATCACTATTATCGAATATCGATAAATATATCTATAGATAGATATCATTCACGAACTAGGTTAATTATTTGTCAGGAAATAAGTAAATCAAATCATAGTCACCCTTTTGTCTCCACAAACATTCTACACCAGTCGTAATCATATACTCACTAGTAACTAACTCCGTCTCTGATGTTTTAGGAAAAAGTCCTGACCATTGATGTTTAACCTTGTAGGACGTAAAATAGGTATTACCAAAGCCTATAAATGGCGATCACGCCATACAGTGAATTGACTAGCATTGAAAATGTAAACTATTAGATCCAAATCTGTCGTTTAAAGGTTGAGTGCTCATTATGAAATCTAAAGGTCTTGGTTTGATCTCTGGAGATGTCATGAATTCACACCCTTGATCGACCAGATAATAGAAAGAAAAGCAGTCATCTGATGCTCCTTGGTTTTTAATGACTGTCTAACTAAAATTCTTCCCTATTGTGAAACTTAAAGTTAATCATATGCTATTTCTATGTCACATCTATTTCCCAGACTAGCAAGTCACTAACAAACAATTCAGTATTATTTAGTGCATGTAAAATACGGTAAAAATTCATTAAATTAATAACAAAGATATACAGACATATATATCTCAATAAAACTATTTATCAGCTGTAATAAAGAGATTTTCAACAGTATCATACAATTTTAACTATGAAATTTCACACTTCAAATGGTTATGAGTGATTAGCGTTTATTATAATGCTGTTTTTTTCCGATATACGGTATATAAATAACGGACTATCGTAATATAGTCATTTACATTTTCCTTCCAAAACTATTACATTCATATTTTTCAGGAAAAAATTACTGTTTAATTAATAAATGGTACTTTGACTTCTTCTTCTACTGGAATGCATTCTATTCCTGACTATCGTTGCATACCACTTATGTGTATATAAGTAGCGCACACCACAGTGGGACCAAGGACCAACATTTTATCCTATTCAAGACTTGTCAGTTAAACGTGATTTTATCTTAATGTTGGTGTTCACATCGGGACTCACTCCCAGTACTTTTGACTACAAATGTCAACCTACTGTCCACTGAGTTACTAGGTTCAGATGATCACATACTACTTATGTCTGTCGACTTAAGTAGCATACACCACAAACATGTTTGATATGTATAATATTACTAGTAAGGGTTTGAACGTCCCCTCTGTTAATTTTTAGTACAGAAGTTCTGGAAATCTTCGTTGGTAAATGTTCATCCAGTGTGGATCACCTCGATATATATATTTTGTTTCAGATTGAATTTAAGAAACGACTGTAAAGGTAGTCTTCAGTCATTAAAGCGATTACCTATATGACTAATTTCACTGAGATCTCGGGTCAAATTAAGATAAACAACCACCAAAAAGCACTTGACATTTGCCTCAACCTAGTATGAGATTTCCCATCAGATCTATACATGGCCCCACATCCAAAAATCAAACCTAAGATCTCTAGTCTCGCATACTAACGCTTAACCTCAACACCATTGAAACGCTATCCAGTAGTGCACAAGTCTAACTTCAGTCAGCCCACGATATTGAGCGACCCCCTTTCATTATCTCCAGTTAATATCTACCTCACATCGGTCACGGCTTCTTGTTAGAACTACAGATTAGATCGCTTCGTGATTTCAATAAAACTCAACTATTTCCACTACCCTATACTGACTAAAACTTATATATTTGTGGTAACTAACAGAGGCTGCTGTTACACTGGCTATTTTCATCTGCATTTGTTGGTGTGTAGGGGATAAAGGGGCCAGGTCATCTACGAATTCCAAATCGTCTAGTTGCATGCAAATGTTCATTGTATTCCGTGCTTCCCCTCAGATCTAAAGGTATTCATAATCCAGTCGACCACCAGAAGAGAAAGGTGGAGATTAAGCAGCCTTGTCTGACTCCGCATCTCAATTAGAACGCGTCTGTCAGCTGTCCTTCATTCACCACTTATCAGTATAGTCCGTTGTATGAAATCCGGATAATGTTGACAATCTTTTAAGATACACCATAGTGCCGAAGATAGTTCCATAAGGTTCTCGCAAAACTGAAATTAAATAACTACATCAAAAGAAGCTCAACATAAATATCAAGATTATTAAACTTACTATCAGCTTCTGTTACAATGCATCGTTTAGCTCTCATAATAAATTCTGGATTCGTATGTTTTAAAAGTACTTGAACATATAAATCGTCTAAAAGATCACTATAAAATCGATAATAAAATTAGCTGAACATTTCCACCAATAAAATATTTGTGTATCGAAAAAAAGATTTACTAAATATTATTGTATAACTACTGTTAGATTTATGAGTAACAATAAATACTTTACAAGCGACTGAAAGACATGTATAATAAGCTCATTTCGGTAGAGTCTATTCATTAAATCTATCGATATAAAAACAAAATTTGGACACAACAAGATCAAATGATAAAAATTTTAACTACGGTATAAGATAGAATCCCTCATCATCGCCTGTTACTCCCAGTGAAGCTGCCTGTGGCCTCTCTGGGGTTACTGGCGATCCCAGGCCCTGATGAAGGTGGAGAGTAGGGCATAGGGTTAGTGACCTCATCCTGTAAAAAACTGACTCGCTAAAAGACACTAAACAGAAAAAATAATTCAAACCATTTAAACTCTGCTCTGGAAGTTAGAACGTCTTCATTTAGAAGAGTTATAACGTCTCATGATGAAAGTCTAGTTTCTTCGGAAGTCACGAGGTTGATGAGCCTTCTAACAAATAGAGCAATTATTTACTTAGGTACATAGATTTACAAACAAAGTTTCAATAAATCTATTTAATGCTCCTTAGTTATCGAATGATTTTCCCAGTTGATTGTAATCTTTAATGAAGAGTAATTTTAATTAAAATTAATCTTCATAAGGCCTTCAGATTATGTATATAATGCTCAAACTGTATTCTCATACTTTTCTACATTACGTCAATATGTATTCATTCAATCTAACGGTATAAAATACAAATTACAGTAATTGACAATGGCCTTAAACATTTTCATAAAAGAAAATGATCATTATAATTGTGTTTTTCTTTAAAGTTACAATCATTTACAGCTCTGATCGACAATAATAATGATAATAGCACAATAAAATGATTTTAATAACTTTAATTAAGTTTATAAACTAAAAAATTAAAATAATAATCCAGCTGATGATGATGAGGATAAAAATATTTTTAATTAAGTAAATTTAATTATTTCAAACAAAATAATTTGCAAAAATTCACTTGGTGTTGTTTTACTTATATCTTCCCAATGTTATTTAGGGTTCGAGTCCCGAAGTGAACATCAACTTTGCGATGCAGGTACATTCGGCTGACGAGTCCCAAATAGGACGAAACGCTCGTTCTAGATTCCACTGCTAGCCACTATCCATCTTAATATAATTTTTAGTTCCTTGAGTAATTTTCTTTAAAACTTGATTGTTTTCTGTTGTATTTGTCTTTTCTTCCTTTCAATTCTTAGCCAAATAAAATTTTTAAACACTGAACTTATAATAATCTTTATACTTCGATGTGAAAACGAGAAATAAAACGAAATCTTTTTTTCCTTGTGTTCTGTTCAATGTTCAACTTACAAATAAACTAGAAGAAAAATGAACGGTTTGAAATAATTAACAGAAATAATCAGCTTTGATAATTATGTATATTTAGGAAAACTAGTGATATTTCATTTCATTTCTATACAGAAAGAAAAAAACCAAAGTACTTACTTTAAGCTTATACGCTCAGATGGATTGTTTTTCATCATTTGAGAAAGTAACTTAAACAGTTCTTTGTGTGTTTCCTTAAGTTAAATAAATAAACAGGTATGAATTCCTTTTAATTAATGTTTATAAATATTTATAAAAGTAGTTATATGAAAATTTCTTGTAATTTTAAAGGGATTTTCAAATAGATACCAAAGGAACAAATAGTTTGCTAATTCTGCTTAGAAAAGTTCAAAGTTTAGACTGTCATCAGTTGAATAACTACTAAGATCGATAACTCTTGAATCGCTTTAACAGAAAAAAACGTAACCCATAGATAATTTTACGTTAGGATTGTAGCTAATGAAAGGTTGACTGATTTTCAAAATGTGTAACACAGTGATAAAAGCAAATAAGAACAAACGAGAAGATAATGATTTTGTTGTATATTAGTGGTTGGAAGAAATCAAAACTAAAATCTAGACAAACATGAAATTTAGTTAACATTCAGCTTGAAGTTAGTGTAAACAACAGTTTCAAACTCCAAATAAAACAGACCTGAAAAGTCATACCGTGAATATCAGTCGATTTCTCTTTTTAAGTGAAAAGGATTAAACTATATTACTAAAACTAAGTTTTGTTTACAAATAAAAGTATATTTATTTATGTACTATGTATATGTTCATCTATTTAGGATAGACTAGAACATTTTATATGAATACTAATGAAAATATTCGACTACCTAACTAAACAAGAATAAAATCTTAAATACACTACCAAAACTTTTTAAGTCCACTGTTTTATCCACTGAACCTCGTCTTTAAATATCATACTATTTCAATGAAATAAATGTTTTTACTCTCAATCGATTATATAATCAAAACAACTGGTTGAGTAAAATCTCATATATTCTCTTATACCGTCTGATTTATGACATTATCTATTAAATTAAGATAATACAACAATGCATTTAAAACTCATAACAATTTTAAATGGTAACCTTTCAAAGATTTCTCATTCATTTTTACGATGCAGGTATCATTATAATCTTTTATATTCAACAATAATTTATTATTACGCTTTAGGGTATTATTATATGAATGATTATTAAAGTAGATGAATAACTAAGAAAAAATATACACTTAAAAAGTACTTAGATAATACCATACATAAACTTAGTTTTATTTACTCGTAAAAGAATACTGCTGATGAATCTTCAACCCAAAATAATAGCTATATACTATTTGGGATGTTGCTAAGGAAGAACCAAATACTTTGCTTTGATGATCAGAATTAGTTGTTATTATTAATATTGTTATACCTTTATTGAATTAATTATTATTCATATAAATTAACTTGTTATAAATGCCAAATAGTTAAATGATTGTTTTTGCTCATTACAATTTATTCATTAGAATACAGGATGTTTACATTTTACATCATAAATAATTAGTGTGTGTGTGTTTTTTGTAAAAGATATTTGGTTTAACTAATTTATGTTAATGGGTAATCCATGATAATGGTTGTCTTTCTCTTTACTTCAATAATAATAATAATAATAATTCAGTAAATGTAATCTGAAATTAATAGAACAACATAATGTCTGATAATTTAGAATTAATTATAATATTTCACTTTCATTTAACTCAATTCATATCCCTTTATCTACAAATGAAAATGTATGGCTGCATCCAACTATTAGCAGTCATTTGGATTATTCTCTTTATATCACTTGACTTAATTGGTATGTTTATTTAACCATAAACTAATCAATAAACAGGAAATTATTACTTTGTAAAATAATAAATATATTTATTAAATAGATGTACATATTATCATTATCATCATCATCATTAACATCATTATGAACAAACATACCAGTTGAATTGGTTATTAATCATAAACTCATTGTCATTACAAATCGTTTATTTTTTTATAGTCGACTTTTTTTTAAATAATGATAAACGGCATTACTCATTAGTCTCAAAAATAAAGGTAAGTAGTCGGAATTATAGAATATCAATGAGATTTTATATATTCTATTTGGCTACTTATTACACATAGTGTCACTATGACTTATTTATGTTTACGTATATTCATGTTTACAATAAATGTTAACTTCACTTAACTCATGATATTCATTATAACGGTTATTTAACAACAGGTTAGATGTATAATTTTCAATCACTTCCTCTCGATGTCTAGTAATTAATAAGTTAATACAAGGTCACTATATTCTGTCGCCCATTTTAAAAAAATGACATTTACATCACTTCCAACTTATTATTATTTATGTGTTGGTGGGAAAAATGAAATATGAAAAAATGAACATTAACATAATCAATTCATAAAATTATATCATTATTTTCTGTAAACGTAATATCATTATGCTACCAGTAATATCTCTTAACTATACCTTTATACCAGGATATCATAGCTTGCTTTTTTTCTATGACCCCTGACTCTCAAAAAGACAGATTTTGCAAAGAAGATTTATTTAATGGAAACCAAAGAATATTAAGTCATAGTACAAATCATTCCACTAGAAATTGATTATATTCAGTGATAGTTATTTAAAAAGTTTGCCAAACAGAATAAATCTCACATGAATAAAAGTCGCAATAATTTAATTAATGCATATGAAAACTAATTGAGAGTCAGTTGAAATAAAAAATTACCTTAAATTGGGATGTGATCGTAGAGTTGATTTCTTCCTTCCCAATACACTATGTATTCGGATTTAATATCTCTGACGAAAATAATACATTCAACTAAAATTTCATTTCTTATTTATTTGTTCATTTGCATCAATTTGGAAGACTCTCCTGGTCTCCCACATTGTACGAGTATTCTATATACCTAAATAAATGTTTGCTCTGGTTGTTCATTTCTGTAAACTTATTTTCTCTTTGATATACATCTCTTTCTTACCTCATCATGTTTATTATCAATAACCATTTTAAATTCACTTTTCAGTGACCCCATTTAGTCATTCTGTAACACTCAATTAGTCGAATCTCCCCTATATACTTAATCATTATTCGATTACATGGATGTTTTTGTTTCAGTTAATTTGTAGCTATTTTTTTCTTATTAATCTTAAAGCAAGGAGGGGATCACAATGAACATTATCCAATGTTATGCACCCACCAATGATAGCAACGACGACTTTAAAGATCAATTCTATGAGAGGCTGCAATCAATCATAGAGAAGTGCCCAAGAAAGGACCTCACCATTCTGATGGGAGATCTAAACGCCAAAGTCGGAATGGACAACACCGGATATGAAGACATCATGGGACTACATGGACTGGGAGAGAGAAACGAAAACGGGGAAAGATTTGCAAATCTGTGTGCATTCAATAAATTGGTCATAGGTGGTACAATATTTCCACAAAAACGTATACACAAAGCTACATGGATCTCACCGGACCACATCACAGAGAACCAGATAGATCATATTTGCATCAACAAAAAGTTCCGAAGGACAATGGAAGATGTGAAAACCAGGAGAGGAGCGGACATAGCTTCAGATCATCACCTAGTTGTGGCCAAATTGAAACTGAAGCTAAAGAAGAACTGGACAACTGGACAAACAGCACCACAAAGGTTCAATATAGCCTTCCTTCGAGATACTGACAAACTCAATGAATTCAAGGTAGCTCTCAACAACAGGTTCCAAGCCTTACAGGATCTACTGAACGAAGAAGAAACTACTATGGAGGATAGCTGGAAAGGTATCAAAGAAACATTAACTTCAACGTGTCAAGAGGTTCTGGGCCCCAAGAAGCATCATCACAAGGAATGGATCTCTATAGAAACACTGGACAGGATCAAAGAAAGAAAGAACAAGAAGACAGCAATTAACAACAATCGAACAAGAGCAGAGAAAGTCCAAGCACAAGCAGAGTACATTGAAGCAAACAAGAAAGTGAAGAAGAGCATTAGAGCTGACAAGCAAAAATACCTGGAAGAACTAGAAACGACGGCGGAAAAAGCTGCAAAAGAAGGAAATATGAGACAGCTTTACGATACGACGAAGAAGCTAGCAGGTAAATACAGTAAACCAGAGAGACCAGTCAAAGACAAAGAAGGAAGACCAATCACTGAGATTCAACAACAGCGCAACAGATGGGCAGAGTACTTCAAGGAACTCCTGAACAGGCCGGCTACAATGAATCCACCGGACATCGAAGCAGCACACACAGATCTTCCTATAGATGTCAATCCACCAATGACCGAAGAAATCAGAATGGCCGTCAGACAAATCAAGAGCGGGAAGGCAGCAGGACCTGACAATATACCAGCTGAAGCGTTGAAGTCAGACATCGAAGTAACTACAAGCATGCTTCATCTTCTATTCAAGAAGATTTGGGAGGAGGAACAAGTGCCGATGGATTGGAAAGAAGGACACCTCATCAAGATTCCAAAAAAAGGAGATCTGAGCAAGTGTGAAAACTACAGAGGCATTACACTACTGTCAATACCAGGAAAAGTCTTCAACAGAGTGTTACTGAACAGGATGAAAGACGCAATAGACGCTCAACTTCGAGATCAACAAGCTGGATTCCGTAAGGACCGGTCGTGCACAGACCAGATTGCGACACTACGGATCATCGTCGAACAATCAATTGAGTGGAACTCGTCACTCTACATCAACTTCATTGATTATGAGAAGGCATTTGACAGTGTAGATAGGAGAGCGTTATGGAAAATTCTTCGACACTACGGAGTTCTTGAGAAGATTGTCAACATTATCCGGAACTCATACGACGGGCTACAGTGCAAAGTAGTGCATGGAGGACAGCTGACTGACGCATTCCAAGTAAGGACCGGAGTAAGACAAGGCTGTCTACTCTCTCCCTTCCTGTTTCTTCTGGTGGTCGACTGGTTTATGAAGACCTCGACATCTGAGGGAAACCACGGCATACGATGAACAGCTCAGAACCAATTAGACGACTTGGACTTCGCAGATGACCTAGCCCTCCTATCACATACACACGAACAAATGCAGATAAACACAGCCAGCATAGCAGCAGTCTCTGCATCAGTAGGCCTCAACATACACAAAGGGAAAACCAAGGTCCTCAAACACAACACGGAGAACAGCAATCCAATCACTCTTGATGGCGAAACTCTGGAAGACGTGGAATCCTTCACATACCTGGGAAGCATCGTCGATAAACAAGGAGGTTCAGATGCAGACGTCAAGGCAAGGATTGGCAAAGCTAGAGTGGCATTCCTTCAACTGAAGAACATATGGAACTCAAAACAACTTTCAACCAATATCAAAGTCAGAATCTTCAATACCAACGTCAAGGCAGTTCTACCGTACGGAGCTGAAACTTGGAGAACTACAACAACCACCATCAAGAAGGTACAGGTATTTATCAATAGCTGTCTACGCAAGATACTCAACATCCATTGGCCGGATACCATCAGCAACAGCCTTTTGTGGGAGAGACCCAACCAGCTTCCAGCTGAAGAGAAAATTCGGAAAAGACGATGGAAATGGATAGGACATACATTGAGGAAATCATCAAACTGCATTACGAGACAAGCGCTGACTTGGAATCCTGAAGGGAAGCGGAAAAGAGGAAGGCCAAAGAACACATTACGTCGGGAAATAGAAGCAGATATGAAAAGGATGAATAAGAACTAGAAAGAGCTTGAAAGGATTGCCCAGGACAGGGTTGGATGGAGAATGCTGTTGAGCGGCCTATGCTCCTTCACGAGGAGTAACAGGCGTGAGTAAGTAAGTAAGTAATCTTAAAGCAAAACTCACAAGCATTGAATGTTATAATAATTTTGTGAATCCACCAAATAAAGGATTTTAAGCATAAAGAGATAAGTGTACGGAGTATACATCTTAAAATATGCATTTTAGCTGACTAGCCCTTTGTACTTTCGAGAGTTTGAACATTGAGGAACTTACTGTGGTATATTTCTTAGTCAAGTCAGATAGTAGCCAACAGTGAAAACTAGAACCCACGTTTCATCTCATTCGAGGCTAGTTAACTGGATATATCTCCATCCCAGTGTCTACCACTCTAACCCATTTTTTGCTCCAAACATCAATGCATCATTCATTGAAGGGTCCCAAACGGGATCAAAAACACTTCTTTGATTCCATTGACAGCCAGTACCTAACATTACTAACAAAGCTTGTGACCTGGTGTCAATTTCGAAGCAATCCTCTCAGAATACATTTATACCAAAAAAGACTGATTAATCTCAATCTTTAATACAAATCCTTACAAATTATCGTGGTATACGTCCTGCGAAACCTGTATTCTCTGATCATCTTAAGCGTTTATAATTCCTCAAAAATAATACTTGGTAGCAAATACATAAGAATGCAGTTATATAAAGTGGGATCAAACATTTCTCCAAAAATTCCTTTATCCATCTTTTGAAAACATCTACCACTAATCAATAGCTTTTTGATTCCCACTACGAATAGTTCTTTTAAGTTTTTCAGATATAACTCAGCAAAATGATTACAACGATACGTTTTGTTTATCAAATTAAATAATTATTGATAGAAGTAGAGATTTTAGTTTGTTTCTCATATGAATAATGAACGTTAGTCTTAAACTAGTATATAGTTTATACCCATACAAACAAAGTTTTCAAAACATATTTATGAATATCAGAAGGGGTTTTGTGGATATTATAGAAATATCAATGGTTGAGATCATGAGTCAGTTGAAGCTAGACCACCATGGAAAACCTGGAAGCACTGGACGGCCATTTTGTCCTATTGTGGGACTCCCCAGTAGTGCGCATCCACGATCTTGCCCCCGCGAGATTTGAAACCAGGACCTATCAGTCTCGCGCGAGAGCGCTTAACCACTAGACCACCGAGTCGATGCTTCAGTGCTCCAGTGCTTCCAGGTTTTCCATGCTGGTCTACCTTCAACTGATTCATGATCTCAACCATTGAAATTTCTTTAGTATCCACAAAACCCCTTCTGATATTATTCAACGTATGCTCACTAATGACTGGCTTCAAGAAGTATATTCTGGAGTCCTAGTGAGAAGTGACCAGTGGAGTTCAACCAGGTCTGTTGTGAGATAGTAACTCACGGATGACAATGATGGATGTGTTGCTCAATTTCGTGGATTGGTTGAAGTTAGACATATTTATTAGTCTTTTTCTCATTTAGAAAACACTTACTAATTCTTCTGTAGATGATAGATGGAGAAATACATTTTCTTTTGCTTTGAGTTGATCAACTGCTAAAATCTCTTCATTTTTGAATAAATATTTAATGTATATTACAATAGTGATTATGCACCCCAAAGTCCATACATCAGATTTATCAGTAAATTCAAACTGACTTGTTTCAGGAGCACACCATTCAATGTATCTGGCTGTAAAAAAGTACATGTTATAACAAACAATTATTGTGATCTGTGATTTATCTAATTCAAGATTAGAAACACAATTCAGAAAAGATTTATCTCAAACTAAAGAATAAACAATTATGAACAAATACATAAAGGCCGTTAAATGTATCAAAACCAAGTCAATTTGTAAAGTTTCCATAACTAACTTCCTTAAACAAATACTGAGAAACATATCGCACTAATCCGAACGATATATAATTCAATCTACCAACGATATAATCAGAGAATATCCTACTTAAATGAAATGCTATTTATTTTTATTTAAATGATTTCAAATGAGATCAGTAGAAATTGAGTATCTACGTTCTCAACCAAAAGAAGAAAGGATAATCTATAAAGGTATACCGTAATTGAGCCCGAACAATAATCCAATGTATCTGTTTAATCTTACTGGAATATAAAAGCTAAAATATCATTCTTGAAGTTAACTTTTATATTTTCTTACTGTTTTGACATTTTCTTAAATACCTACTTTTTCTATGGAAAAAAATAATTTTAAACTTCGATCATTTGTCAAAAATAACCAACTGTACACTTACAATCAGTGATTTTCTTTTTCTACTTACGGTATTTAATTTCTCATATGCTTTATCGAGTTATTGCATAAAATCTACTTTGTGTTTAATTTCATAGAATACTAAATTTCTTATTAACTGTTCACTTGTGTAAATATCTTCTTACAGATATCAATATAATTTGTTCTCATCAGGTTAGATCATGATGTATTAGACCGATTTACGGATTTTTAGCACTTAACCTCCATAATAATGGCCAATAAATTTTACCACCTCTGAAATACAGTACCTTTATTCTGAGTGGTATTAGTATATGAGATAGACTCATAACAGAGTTTGTTTTGCATTGTTTTACATTTCACATCCTTGGTAGTTGTTGTATCATATATTACAAATTGATATCCATTAAGCAAGGACTTGATCCTTAATAGAACAGGTGGTTTGAATGAAATATAGTTCTTTTATTAAAGAAACTAAATAAATCGTCCTCGCATCCGATATAGTGAATCGCCCTGCTATAACATTGCTAGCTCAACATTAAAAGTGAATATTTTTCACTTAAAATCCATTTTTTACGAGGATTACTTACCAATGAAATTTATAAAATCTGAGCTACTCTAATACTGCCTATCCTTGAAACCAATTCGCAAACGTCGTATTTACCCCAGCTACAATAATTCCCTTGCTTTCGATCCCCCTTAAAAACAAATTAGCAATTATGTCCCAAACTACTGGTTAAATTATAGAAAGTTTTAGTGTATGAGCAATGTTTTACTGAAAGTAATTATAAAACTTATCTTCATGATGATATGCAATGCTTTCACTTTTTATGAACTCACACTATAAATCCTTTCCGTCATACATTATTAAGCATAATTTACCTCGTTACTTTGTGGATTTATAAAGGTCAATGATTTCAAACAAAATCAGTCTATATGAGGAGGTTACAAAACAATCAACCCCAAATATGGAAAAAACCTATCACAATATCTATTTTTGTGATTCAGCGAACTTTGTTTTCGTCTTCTTCTTTCTAGTCGCAAACAATTATAAGTGAGCTGTAAAGAGGATGAAGTCTCTCTTCTCTATGTTATTCATTTATAAGTACAACATCCTAGTCTTCCTTCTACGAAGACATCAGTTTCTAACTCCTGTCTTTAATAGCCAATCCATTTTCTAAAACAATCCCAAATAAATGCCATACTAAAGTAATGAAAAGAGTGGTTACAAATTTAAAACTAAATATTAACCAAAAGTAAAAACTTTCAAAATTTTGTCAAAGTATCTGTACAGAAAACCTCTCCAAATAGTATTTCACTAAATTGCTCTTTGTCCCACTACATGACAAAATGTCATCTTCATTTAGTGTGTAACGATGGATTTCTTTGAAAACAAGCATTATTGCAACCTAATTTAACTAACCATATTTGGTTAACTGTGCCCCTAAAAAGAAAGATTTTCATAAATCAACGTCAAAACAACACGACCAGATGCTAAAAGAAAGTAAAATGAAATGACTAGAAACTAATGGGAAGAATATTTTATAATTATAGTCAGATAGGATCGCGATTTAAGTTTGCAGGAGACATTAATTATTTTTTTCCTTTTATTAGCAATCGCCAAATAAATTCATATGTGTAAAAGTAAGCTATGAAACGAACACTTTATACTTACGTAAACGTCTTCGTGGGAGCTCATCCGGAGGACATTCAATGGTTAGTTCACCCAAAAGATCAGGATTCATTATGTATTCAAATGCTGAAAAGGTAAATAATAGATCAAGGGTTAACAAATCATACAGAATAAGTCACTCAAGATATCTGCCTATAATGAAATCTGATTAACGGTCAGTAACTAGGTTTTTCAAAAATAATAAGACAAATAAGACACTGGATTAGTACAGAAATATGCAATCAGAACCTCTCGCGCGTTTCCTGAAATGTGTCTAAACTTTAAAACATTTTCAGGGTTTCTGACTCAAACTTTGTCACAGTGAAGATTTTGTTCCAACTTTAACCATCCTACTGTTGTAATTTCTTACTCATTGACTAGCATTTAACTTACTTGCTTCTTGACTGAAAGTAAGCCAAGATCTTGACTTAGTAATATAATGCTTTGAACTAAAATCATGCAGTTTATTGGGCAAAATCTAATATACTTGCTTTCACGGTTATTAGACATAAATACTGAACACCAATCATCAAAAATAAGCATTTTCATAATATTTGCTGACGTGTGTACTCAAAGATAATGGTGATAAACTGTGGTCATTGTATCAGTTATGCTCTTTATATGCGAACCCCAAGCATAGTTAAAAAGTTGTTAAATGAAAATATTTATCTTGTATAATTACAGTTGTACTTGGCAATTTGAATACCGTTAGCCAGAAGAATAATAGACTCACTATGGCTCACAAATTAATGACTGTGATGTTTGTATGCATAACGGTTAGACGAGACCATAGTTTATGAACGAACCAGTCAGATTTAAGGTAACAGATTTTTTATTTTGGCTCAAAATGCATCCACATATTTGGCTGAATACCATTTTGACATGATAGCTGATGTCAGTTCGTGATGAAAATATTCAACCTAATTTCTAATCCCAATGTTTAACTATAAACCCTTATCCTAACTTCTTACACTAAAATAAAACCCTCATTGGTCCCTAATAAGTATGTGGACATTCCAAAGTCATTTTATCGTTGCTCAAATGTCGTCCATAAATTGTAGCCTCACCAAAGGTTGTTTAAGGATTATTATGCGCCCAAGTTGAATTCAAATAACAATGTAGCGTCGGTTATTATGTTAAGCCCATATACCTTATTCTAGCTTTCGGACAGCTCAATCTATTCATTCTACTTGAGTCACATTCTGACCTTGTTAATTGTTCGCTTATTAATCTTGACTGTTTTTATACGAGCGCATAGGTGTGTGTACACTTCTTATCCCATTACTCATCACATGTATGTAACTTACTTTTGTGTAGCTATAAATACTGATTAATGTTTGGTTAACAGGGGGTTGGCTTACCCGCCATCTCCACTGCGCGTCGTTTCTCTTCTCTCGGTCCCATTCGCTTCATATACAAAATATATGTATTTAAAAGTCCATTGTCGTTAATTGACTTATTTAATTCCGCTATTGAATAACGCGATTTAAGTCGATAATTACATACGAGAATAGGCGACATATATATTTCAGCAACAATTATTAATATGATCTATTTGGAGTCAGATCCCGGGCGAATAAAGTGGAGAGCCCTTGACAAACATCGTCCGATATAGATGACGACAAAAAAGGGCCCCACAACAACACTCTCAAGTGTGCCAACTGCCTCCTCTTTGACTTGAGTCCTGATCCATCCGTAACAACCAGAGTACTTTAATCGCTCCATTTTGAGAAGAATGTCTGTTTTGCGAAAATTTTGGAAAGCCACAACAAAAAATTTCAGGAAAACTAAACAAAAAGCTCAAAATTTCCTCACGTTTGAGGAAACACTCATACATTTTAGGAAGCTTTCGGGTTTTCTACAATAGTTCCCCAAACTTTGGGGAAAACTGTGGTTATTTGAAGCATTTGAATTGCAGTATAAGTTAGCAATCCTAGAAATAACGCAATTTAGCCAAGAAAAACTATACGAGCACGAGCAAAGGCATTTTATTTGATTTTTGAAATCAAGCAGTCATCAAATGCAAATAAATCATTAATTCACATAAAAACGCCACAAAAACCCCACATTCGCTCAAAATTGAGAGATGGAGATGCATTAGATAATTTCAGAAATTCCTAATTAGTACACCAAGTCCTGTCATCATTACTTATCCTAATGACACACTTGCAGACACTTACGTGCTGTTAGTGGGAAAACTATTTAATGAATCGTAATTCTCGCATAAATGTGAAAAGCATTAACTACGTTAAAACTCATAAACATGACATCCATCTGCTAATAAGATTCAAGTATCGGTACTTATATTTTACAAGAAATCTTTGAGCGTAGGCAACCAAGTGTTTAGATTTATGATAAACATGTCTAGTTCAAAATTTAATAAATTTAAAAATCGGGTTTATTCTGGTATCCTATGTGTGAGTAGAGAGAAAATAGTAAAGTGCCCTAAAAATAATATGGTGTTGCTTAATTTCAACATACATTGCACATAAACATCTACTCCACGAGCATACTTCATCAGATTCGGACCCCAAATATCCGTCATGAAAAATCCTTTCTCACTAAGAAAAATATTACCAGGATGAAAATAGCTTTAAAAGGGTTAACGTATGAACAAGTTACATAGAGCCACAATTCGCCTCTTTCAGTGAAGTTATAACCGTCAGTACGCTTCCAAAAATTCGGTATACTAACTATTTTTCCGTAAAATAGATATGGAAAGTTGTATTTCTTACATTCCACTCAAACCTAGATTTTTCTATTTTGTCTTTAATTATGGAGTCTAAGCTCGGCAGATCGATATAGCTACGAATAACAGAAACATAAATTGCCGAGTTCTTAAAATGAGTAATACAAAAAATAAAGGTTACTTCTGAGTTCATTGACATATGAATTTCTAAAATTCTTGATACGTATGGATGTATGAACTTCTGAATATGATTAAACTCTTCACACAATAGATATCCATGATCTAGACTTCTACACTCTATCTTTTTCCAGGATTCTGAATGTGAAATTTTCTCTCACCATCTTTAATACAAAATATTCTAAATTATCTCGACGTCTCAACTTATATGATGTTCCTTGGCATCCTTTTCCTAAGCATTCAACAACCTATGATGAGTTAGAAAAAACAGAATAATCACTTCGTATTGATCAAGAATATCTTTCATATGATTATGATCTTTATCAAGCATCTCTCAATTCAAAAACGATTTGTAATTATCACCGTGCCAACGAAATCGAAAAAACACAGAAAGCAACAGCTGTGTTCATTCAAGGTCGAATGAGTTATCGTGACTGCAACGTTTTCAATGTCTGATAAATGTTGCGTCCAGTACATTCCACCATCTTCCCACTTATCAAATAGACCACCACCACATTTGCACGACTCAGAACTGCTTACCTCTTGATCAACCAAAAGACCGTTCGCCAAACAATATTTTTAATTTACGCCACTTCCACATGAATGAAACTATTATCAAAGCCATCTCGAAGACGTACTAGATTAAAAAAGAGTTTTGACAGTATAAAATACTGTCATAAATACAGTGTGTACAGCTTCTCAAGTCTAAAACGTTGGGAACTAAAAGAGATAAATACATATATGAGCGATAAAATAATGAAAACTGGAGTTAAGAAACATCTATAGTATCAATAACTGTCCAACCCAGAATATTCAGTGCCAAATAAAAGCGTTTTTTGATCTACATTTTGTAAAGATTGTTCCGGTGGTGAATTTCTTATTTTTGAGGAAGCCCAGTGTGAGGTACTCTATGATCTCATGATTCCTGAAGCCTCAAGATATGTATGCAACCAGCTTACCGCTTGCTGTATATTTTAACAGTTGCCGATTGGATGGAAGTGATTCTCATTCTACATTTCAACGTAGGAGCTTAGAGGACTGCGGACTGATGGAAACCAATGTCAGGAATTATAATTTATCAATTGAGAGAGTTCATAAGTAAAACCGTACTATCCTATGACGCAGTATAGGGAAATAGGAAATATTATGCCTACAAAATACAAAGAACAAACAATGCCAAATCCAGTCGCCAATTTCTTTTTCTAATGATAAGTTACATACATAATTGATCTGACTACCAGCCTTACGTTATCTGATTGAATGAGGAGGCAGAAAACGCAAATTGGGGCGTCTGCATACTCGAGTTATAGCATAGAAAACTCTAGTTCACCGACTTTCAAAAATGGCTGAAGATTAAAACTGCAGAGAGACATTAAGTCTGAAAAGGGAGCATTTGGTCTTCTGAAGAGGATGTTGCTTGCGTAGCTAACAGAAGAATCAAATCCAACCCTCGATTCACAAAAGTACCCAGACATGTTCATAAATACCTCGGATCAACGCGAAAACTGCTCTACCTAAACTGACCATCTACTGAGCAGCTCTATGTTCTGTATCCGTGACCTTATTCTAGCAAAATTTTGAATACCAGCACTGACGATAGAAGTAGTATTTCCACTTATTATCATCAGATCAATGTCCTCCTTGTCTGTGATTACTTAATCTTGTTTATTTCGGGATAAACCAATTTAGAACATAATCCCCCTTAAATGGGCTGATAATCTTCAGTACTTGGAGAAATTTCAAACTGATGTTACAAATATCAGAGGCAATTTTCTCCACAGTCTTAACAAGTGATTATAACTGAATTGTAGATAATTTTTGATAATACTTCAAGGTCTCATCAACCTAGAAGCATTGTGCATGCTTTCAGTGTGTCCACTAAATTCAACTCCCGAAACCAAACAACTTGAGAGATATGATTTGACTATATATTCTCCACGCATCGCGTGAACAATGCACGATGCACTGTGTGAGGACCCCTGGTATCAGTTGGATTCGAACTTCAAACAAGATTTTTTTGCTGTGATCAGTAAAAGCTTTAAAATGACTTCTCCAAGTCCAAAGCTGGAATGCGGCTGTTGAAACAGATTTTAGATACGGATATGTTATCGTAAGACGTCAAGCATGAATTGAGTTGTACATTTAACTGCCTTTTGAGTACTGAGAGCTTCTTACTCCCCTTACCACATTTAGGTAAAAGAGGACCAATGCAAGGGAAGGCAGTGGTCTAGCAAACACACAGACAACATTTAGCTTCATAATGGATGTAATCCACAACAAGTATTCTGACCACACCTAGATGTGACGAATGAAAAGTTACAACTAATAGAAGAGATTATTCGAATAACTGCTTCAAACATTGAGGAAGGGAATTGTTTCTTATCCAGGGGACAACATTATCTTAGGAAAGGCTTGTCCTACTTGACAAATTTGTCACTGAAAGAGAAGACTGGATTGCAAATTAAGATAAAAATATTCCAGTAGACGTTATTTTCTAAGATGAAAGGAGAGTGTTCAACGAGATCTCTCATCTGGATCTGAAATGACAATATGAGAATTTTAGGGTCCACTATGAAATCACAAACTCCACGGGTGACTTTCCCAATAACGCGAGAAAACGAGTACAGGTAAGTAAATTTCTATCAAAGTGAGAATCTTTAGAAAGTGGAGTTAGCCAAGGTATAATCGTTTTAACTGTGTGTAAGTGACTTGCCAACTGTAGCGAAGTCATCTGTTCCACTTTTCGTAGACGAAACAAAGAGTTGGAGACCCATATACAGCATTTCAAATAGAATAATATTACAGGATGACCTAAATTCACTGGTATAACGGACGGGTAGCTAGTCACTAAAAGTTAACTCTAAAAAAAGTGTGGCGATCTAAATACATAACTGTGATGATTCATATGACTACACAATATGTAGGTGTGTGTTATTCAAAATAATGAACAATAAAGATCTAGGAATTACAATAAGCAACGACCTTGGTACTACGAGCAATTCCATGGCTGCCATTGCCAAAGGATTCAAGACCTTATGGGTTGTTCGTAAGTCGTTTGAACACTTGCATGAAAAAATTTCAAGGGTATTATACTCGGCTTCTCGAGGCCGCATTTGAACTATGAAATTCAAGAAGTGATTCCTTGTTTCGAGCACTAGGCTAATATGCTAAAACGAACTCAACAACAAAGGACTAAAGTCGTAAAAAGTCTTTCTGGCTTATCTTATGAAGACACACTGAGAAACCTCAACCTATTTCCTCTACTTTACTGAAGGTCACAGGGTGATTAAATACTATCTTGCCATATGCTGGACGGTGATTTTGCTATTAATATGTCTTGTCTTTTGCTTCCATCTCGAACTGATCATCTAAGATGACATTCTAAGAAAGCCGAAAAACCGAGATCGAATCTTTTACATGTGGAGTTCCGTTTCTTGCAACTACACAAAAGTTTGACAGTTGCATGCTTGAGGGATTATCGCGTCATACTCGTACAGGATACTCTCATATCCAGATTCTGGGAAACTGCGATTTCTCTAAAGTCAACTTCACTGAACATGCGTACATTGCAGGTGACAGCTCTAGTGAAACTCGGTTCTTCAACCTCTGAAGATCTGAGGTTGTTCGAAAACGTCAAATTAGAAACTCGTTGGAGAAATAGTCAAAGTCCATCGCGCTTAGACTGCATATTTGTAAACAAATAATTCCTACGTGACAATTTCTCAACCTTGGCTTTCCTGGAATAAAGTGATCACGCCGTCATAGCTTTTAATCTTATATGCAAAACTGAGCTAATACATCCTACCAACAAAATGCCCTGGAATTTCAAACGGTTGGACGTGTCAGTCATACAAGACAATTCGCAGCTGGAGGATCGGATAGCTTACCCTCAACTTGACGTGGGCGCTCATTTGGATTTCTTGCTGAACACGATCTTATGTGCTACAAAACAGTCTGCTCCGCAAACGGTCCCTAAAACCTATAAGCAACCTACATACATCAAGAATTACACTCTTCGTTTGCTAAGCCGCAGATGTTAATATTGGCAACACCACTTGACGTAATGTTCTGACATTCACCAAATCAAAGCGCGGTACAAGATAATTGGAAATTGGCCCACACTACACCGATTTTCAAAGGAGGTCGACGCAAAAGATCTTCAAGTCACAGGCCGGTAGCACTTCTCTCAATACCCTCAAAAGTTATGAAGTCCCTGCTATGCGACGACCCATATGACTACTTACTATCCGCACACATATTTTCACCGCAAGAGCGTGGTTCCGGAAATGGTCATTCGTACGTAACCAACCCGCTGACTACGGTGGACAGATGGACAACTATCATTTACCTTGACTTTCGGAAATTCTTTGATAGGGTCAGTCATATTTGTCTTACCAATAAGTTCAAACGATTGGGTATCAAACCACCAATAATTGATTGGCTTACTTCATATCTAAATAATCGACTTTTAAGGTCAGGGATAACTTCGCTTTCTCCCGAGCTATGGTAGGTCCTAATGGAACCCCTAAAGGTTCATTACTAGGACCTCTTTTTTACTTAATTTGTATAAGTGGTCCTCCGCAGCAGGCATTTTCAGATTTATTACTTTTCACTGACGACGTGAAACCCTGGAGAAAAGTTTACGACTAAGATGATAAACTGTCACTTTTAAAGAGTCTGGTTTGACTTCAAGGTTTGGCAGACAATAGTGTACTTGCCTACAATACTTCGAAGTGTAAAGCATTCCATTTGGGACAAGTCGCAGACCATGAATACAACTTAGGTAACCCCTCTCTAGAGGCAACCCAACTTGAAAAAGGTCCAGGAGTGTTGATATCCAACGATCTGATGTCTTACGCCAACTGCAACACAGATCCAGTTACTGTGAGACTAGGAATGCTTGTGAAGCGTTGATACGTAGGAAAAGACAGTCATACCAAAAACAACTGCTTCGGGGTTGTAAAAATAGTCCAAACCTGATATTCTCGCATGTAATAAGGCAAGCTAAGAGAAGTGGTGGAATTCCACCACTTTTGGCACAAGAAAGTCCTTCAGTATTGGCAAGAGATAATGTCGAAAAAGCTAAAGCTGCATCGGAATATTTCAGTAACGTGTTTTCTGTCAGCAATAAAGAACGAACAACGATTGATTGTGATTGTGGCAGCCTGTTGATGGATCCTGTGGTTATTGAGAAAGGTACTTCAACATCTCAAACCTGCTAAGTCCAGTGGTCCTGACGATATTCATTCAAGGATTATGAAAGCCCCATCGGATGTAATTGCTGAACATATAGTCATACTATTTGATATGTCTCTGCGGCAGTCCAGATTGCTAAGATACTGGAGAGATGGAACAATTGGTTCAGTGTATAAGACAGACAGTAGAGACTTGGTTGGTAACTATCGACCCGTTAGTCAAACCAGTGCAGTTGCCGAACTAATGAGAAGGATTATTCGAATGGCTGCTATAAACTACGTGTAAGGGCATTATCTTTTATTCCAGAAAGGCCTATCACGCTTGATAAATCCGGTCATTGCAAGAGAAGATCGGGCTGCGGAAAAAGATCGTAAAACCCTGTAGATGTAGTTTTTATACATCTAGGTAAAGCCTTTGATAAGGTCTCCCATTCGGGTTTTAAATTAAAACTGGAACATTTCGGAATCCATTATAAGGTTGCAGGAGACAGGGGTTGAGGTAAATAGAGCTATCTAAGCGTAGGAACCTGTATAAGGCGGAGTTCCCCAAGGTACAGTCCCCTGTCCTCTTCTGTTTTTACTTCATGTAAATGAATTACCAACTGTAGCAAAGTTATCCGTTCTACTCTTCGCTAATGACATAAAGATTTGGAGTCCCACACACAGTTTATCAGATAGAATTGTATTACAGAATAATTGCAGCTCACTGGTGCCATGGATGGACGGATGGTCACTAGAAGTAGATTTTAACAGGAGTGTGGTGATGCAATTAAATAACTATGATGACTCGTATCACTACACAATAAGTAGATTTGTGTTACCAAAAGTAATGTACTATGAACATTTAGGAGCCATAATAAGCAGCGATCTCAAAACAACGGGTAACTGTAAGGCTGCTGCTGCTGAAAAAGACTATTGGATACTATGGACTATTCGTATATGTTTTCAGCATTTAGACGAAGAAATGCTTAAATTATTATGTCCGACTTTCGTGAGACCTCATTTGGAATATGGGATTCAAGCAACAAGTCCTTGTTTTAAGTTTAAGAACGATATGCTAGAAGGAATCCAACGACAAGGAACTAAAATGGCAAAACATCTCCCTGGCCTATTTATGAAGACAGACTCAGAAATCTCAACTCATTTCCGTTATCTTACCACAGAATATTAGCTTATCGTATACCGAACGATAAGCTTGGAATTTTCCTTCGATATAGGACTAATCGTTTGAGGGGAAATTCCAGGAAAGTTCAAAAACCGAGATCAAATCGTTTACGTCTGGAGTTTCGTTTCTCCCACCGAGCTCTGAATTACTGGAATTCTCTACTAGAACACGTAATATCAGCACTTTCCGTTGATATATTCAAAACGAGGTTGGACCTCCACAATGTTACAAAGTGCAAGGATTAATATAAGTCGACTCATCTACCCTTATTACTGAGGACTGGAGTTTTGGTTGAAGGCCGTTCTTATCAAGGTCATCCAAACAATAATGATGGATAGCAAATCAGCTGGTTTTCGGTTGCCAGATATATGGGATGACGATGATGCTATGTATTCGCTTATGCAACCTATAAGGCGCTCTAAAGTTGTTGATCCAGTCAATTATAATGCTAAAATCACATTTTGGAAAAGAATATTGCTATCCTATGCAAAAGATCACAAGGCATTTGTAATATGTAAACAGTCACTTCAAAAGCTGTTTACTCGACACTTCCCTGTTGAAGGCATAGACTTATATCCTCAATCACTAGGAGAGGTTATTTCCGATTTGGTGTCGGAAGGTGTATTAGGACCAGTAACTCCAAACAGAAGCATCTTAGGCAATATGTTTACGGCCTTCGCCTATGTTGTAAACAAGCCAATATCATGGGCATATCACTATTTAATTGGGTCAGTTTGTTTTTAACTTTGTCTTTCGATGGTTTTTTAGAAGTATGATGTATATATCTCAGTTAATCTTTTTTGATGACATTGTAGTACTCTTAGGTTGTGCTAACCTGTCTATTTGTTCAGCTAAAGTTTGTAAGACAATAAAAGGCCGTCACCAGTTCGGCTTAAGTTCCTAGTGGTTCGTTTCGTTACTAACCAAGTTAGATAACGGTCATATTTTCCATCAAAACGCCGCAGCAGAGTCTAATAAGATAAAAAATTAAATCAGTTAAAGTGCTTAGTAAGTTTTTAAAAAAGCTTAATATTTATCTACCATAGTGACCTCAAATGTAAATCTGCTCTCTAGTGTTCTGTCGTGTTAACACTACACTATTCATGTAATATATCACTGCGAGAAGACCTAAATCCATTTTGTTTCTAACAGTAATATACTTATGACTAAATGTTACAAGCCATACCCTGTTAGCACACCGAGATGAAATCGTCAGGTCAAATCCCAGAATAATAAGGGTAATAGTGTGAGTGGTAAGAAAAATTAGGCATCGAAGACACGATTCGAGAAAATATAAATTAGTGAAATAAGAACAAAACAAGGGTATGAGGAATTTAGAGCCTCAGAATTTGGGGGAAGATAAGGAACAGTTACATGTGCGCCACTGCAAACGAGTTCCATCCATATCACTTGCAGTTTCTAATCACTGGTTACGATAATCACGCGGATCTCAACTACACAGTCTACACCTATGAACATGGATTAGTTGAATCGTCAGTGACTTCATGAATTGACGCCATGTTTTGATTTGATTGCCCCCAGTTTTCAGCCTACTCCTGCACCAGAAGACACCGCCCGTCAAGGTAGGCGGTGGTTGGATATACGTAATACATATCCTAACCACCTCAGTTGATGAAAATTTACTACCTCGTCAATAGGTTTCCTATCTTTACCTAGTACTCTATTCCTTGCTCCGTGATGCTTCGTAAGCATCTCTGATCGAATACCAGTAACCGACGAATATCCTCTATTCTTCTTAGCTACGTTTCACACCTCTAACGTCGAACGAAAAAAAGTGCTGCTCAGTAAACTCGCCCTTCGGTTAGCAGAAGGATATCTCGCCTACATCACATTTGACGCAAGTTGGCAAAACCCAATCGACCCTTCTGAATCCGTGCCGAGAATTCATCAGACACCAGACCTTCAGTACAGATTAGACTCCCAAGGTGAGTGAAGCGGTCAATTCGTTCAACTACTTCACTCCCTATCACTAATTCAATCGATGACGCAAGCCAATCCTGAAATGACGTTTTGCAAGGGAGAGAACTGCATCCCAAACATGCTTGTACCATTGCTAAATGTGGTGGTAAGAGGACTGGATTTTTTAAGCGTCTTCATCAAACAACTATATTATCTACGTATTATAAGTCAACGAGTGAATTTCTTGATAAAAGATCAATCAGACGATGGAAGTGTTACACCTGAAATTTTTTTTTAATTTAACACATAAGTATAGGTACATAAGCTGTCAAGGAATTCAATTATAGTGGGACGTCGAAAATTATATCTATATACCAGAACCTGCTAAAGGGTGAATATTTGGCCTATACATCCACTTATAGGCCTGAAACCAGTCTGGTTTTCGCAAGTTCGCTCTTCATGAGCTCTAGTTAGACGTCAAAGTATTAGTGGGGCTAATATTTTTGATACTATATCAGTTAGACTGATTCCTGTGGAATTATCACAAGAGGATTTTTGTCCCTTCTTATCAGTCACTTAGCTACAACGTAGGACCAGATATCGAGATCAGTCAAATGCGATTACGTCCTGTTCCCAGATTTCGGCCAATCTAACCGCTAAAACTGGACCATCATTCTTAAAATTTTCAGGGACTAGTCCATCAGGCCCTGCTTCTCTCCCTCGCTTTAGATTACCTTCAGCCTTCTCAACGTCACTAATAGTTGAAGGACATACATCGGTTCCTCATTTAGGTTACTTGAAGATAGTGGGCAAGTAAAGTGTGGCTGAAGGCGAGTCGAACTTGTCCCGAAAGTGTTCTGTTCATCGGTTCAATCTACTAGATTGAGAGTGAATAATAACTCGTTATTATCACTAACAGACGGGTTTTTAATACCAGTTTCCTTGATACGTCTGAACAGTTGTCTACTGTTACCTATCGCTTCTGCATTTCCCATCTCTCCTGCTATCCCTAACCACCACTGCCCACGATCATTACATACGCCTTTTGTCAACCTACTTTTAAGCTACCTACGTTCTTCATCGTGTTCTGAGCCAGAAAGGATGAGTTCCTGGGCATTTATCAGTACTGTAGACACCACCAAAACCCATTGATTTTTCCTAATCCTCTAGTTTAAATTACTATTAGACATCATCACTGTCTCCACAGGTTTTTGGATATCATACCAAGCTACCTCTGAGTGGACATCACTTTTACGATTGACTAACTCCTCTAGTTGTTCCCGAAATATACTCTTAACTTTTTCATCATTAAGTTAAACTCTAAGGAATTTTCTTGCTGTGGCTTTTTTACGTCCAGTAATATCCTGACAAATATGTGCTCCAACTAAAACATGATCCGAGTCTAAACGTGTGCTCTAGGATGGATAACAGCCTTCTACCGAGCCCTTCCAACGATGGCTTAAAGCAACGTGATCTATTTGAGCCCATCGATGGAACGCCACGTCAGACAATGTTTCTCCTTATGTCCAAAGTTTGCGTTCACTACAAATAGATGGTTATCTGAGCATAGCTGCAACAGACAGTCACCATTATCTGTTCGTTAAACCGCAACATTGTAAGATTTGCCCAATTGCCTTTCGGTTTGGTTTAGTTTACCTACTTCAGTATTAAAATCATCCGCCACCACCACTACATCAGAGAGTAGCTTTTTGGAAGAGGTTGGATATCTTCCTAAAAAATTCATCTTTGACTTCGTCCGAGCTGCAATCAGTAGGAGTGTAGGCGGAGGCAACAAAAAGTTACTAACCTGCGTCTTTATGTTTTCGAGTTCTATAGCAGCAGAGGGGATTATTTGGTCCATTAGTTATACTTAGGTCGTTCAGTAAATAATACTAATTGCAAAAAACAACTTTACTCAGTCCTGCTTCATATTGAATCATTGAGAAACTATCTAATGTTCATGTAGCTTTGAAGTAACATTTTAACGGCATTTGTAAAAGTACGTCATATTCTATTTTCATCAAATAGTATAGAAATATCCATGATTGGAAATAGCAAAACTCAAGTGATTAAGAATGATACAAATTTAAATGTTTTGTATTTTAAGTATATACTTATTAATCACTATCTACAGTGTAGCATCATAATCAATATTTTTATTTCATTTATATACTTTGATTATATATGGATGACTCATAAATGCCTCTAAAATAGCTTAATCTAAACAAACATCAAGGTAGTTTTCCTGGCTCAACCACAACCTTGTACCGCTTCAAGTCATATAAAGAGCTGATTTACTTAATTACTCTAGAGTAAGCTTAATTAATTAGCTCAATATACTTGAGATTTTAGTACAAACAGGTTTTAAGGTATCAATAAATTGAAATATTCAATGTGATTTGTTTGCAAACTAAAATCTAAAGCATATATATCATTCCCAACTTCTACGAGTTCATTACCCCAAAGATTTTTTGTCTTTTAAATACCACGAAATAAATCAAACATAATAATCCATACCAACTATAGTTAACGTCAAAAACACCCCTAAGCTTTAGATCGTAGATACCGAGTATAAAGTCAGTATAACTGGTATTCGATGTGAGGAAGAGTAATCGTACTCGTACTATTTGAGAAGTCTTATGGTTCTGTTGCTTTGAAGGTTTTATCTTACTTGCTAGATATAAAATATCTAGTACCCACTCTCAGATGATTGTTTGACATTTCTACTACACTATTTATTTTATTTGAACACATAAATATTGGTACAAGGGGGCACCAAATATATATGCGCCACACAAAACAATGAGAATTTAAAGAGAATAAAAAAATGTAAGGAACGTAGGGAATTACAAAAAAGAACAAAAATGAGGGAAACGAAAAGGTTCAATCAGAGGAAATCTTACAGTTAAGGAAGAAGCAACCACTCTTTACGAAGAAATTATGAGAAGGTTACAGCAGGATCGCCAGTGGCTTCTATTCTGAGCCATATCTGATAACGTCTCTAGCCACTGTGTTGCACCATCTCTCGGACCCCAGCCAGGGAGTCGTGAAGAACCAACAGAAGCTAGCCCTTTGCAGCTTTCTTTCATACCCCGACACCATGTCATATACTGACCACCTCTCCGCTTTTTCCAACCAGTCCCAGAGTCGGCAAATAATGCACGACGTGGAATTCTCTGGGACGACATTCGTAGAACATGTCCAAGCCACGGAAGTCGGTGTTTCAAGATGGTGACACCAATTGGATTATCGTCTCTGTGCCCGAACACACGATGCCGAACCTCTGCATTACTAACATGGTGTTGCCACTGAATATCAGCAATCCTTCGGAGACAACGATGATCGAACACAGAGAGTCGTCTAACATCCTCAACTCGGATAGGCCAGGTTTCACAAGCATAGAGCAAAACTGCTCTCACCGACACGTTGTAGATCCGACCTTTTACAGCCAGACTAACATCACAAAGGCGCCAAAGATGGCTCAGATTGGCATAAGCCACTCTGGCTTTCACTATACGTGCATTGATCTCATCACTCAGGCCACCACCAGCACTTATGCCGCTGCCTAGATACACGAACTTCTCGACTACTTCTGTCTGCTCACCATCCAGAGTGAGTACAGGATTATAATCCTGCCAGTCTTGTAGAAGTACTTTGCACTTCGAGGGTGCAAAGCACACACTATACCTACGGACATTGATTGCCAACTGATTAAGTGCGGATTGCATGGCTTGAGCATTCTTGCACAGTACGACAATATCATCCGCATACTCAAAGTCGAGAAGTCTTTCTCCAGGCAACAGATCCACACCACCATTACTTACATCCATCAGAGCTGTTTCCAGAATTTCATCGATGGCAAAGTTGAAGAGGAATGGTGAGATTGGGCAACCCTGCCTAACCCCACTGCTCGAATGGAATAATGGAAAAAGGTGGTTGTATACCCTCACTCTGCCTGAAGTGTTTGTATATAGGGTCTTTAGGATGTTAATAAACTTCTCAGGCACACCCTTCAATAGACAATCCCAGAGAACAGACCTATCCAACGAATCGAAGGCAGCCCTGATATCAAGAAATACTACGATTGTTGGCCTTTGATAAGTGTGGTGGTGTTCTAACATTTGGCGGAGGGTGAAGATATGATCAATACATCCTCGACAGAACGAAACCCAGCCTGCTCTTCGCGAGTCAATCCTTCTCGGGTTTTGAACAACCTACGAAGTATAACGAAAGCCACTAGCTTGAACGTAATCGAAAGTAGATTTATCCCCCGATAGTTGTTACAGGAACGACGTGAACCCTTTTTAAAGATAGGGACAACTATCGACTCATTCCATGACGTTGGTACACTCTCTAGTTCCCAAACCTTTGCAAACAACGTCGTCAGTCCCTTAGTCAGAAAGTCACCACCATCTTTAAAAAGAGCCAGAGATAAGTCGTCTGGGCCCGGTGATTTGTAACGTTTCAAGAGTTGGAGTTCCTTGCGGACTTCCGCCTCATTTGGTGGATCAGTCGTCACTGGCTATGGAGGACAGGACAGTCTGACCGATGTTGCCGGAGCAGCAGGCCAGTTGAACTTTCTAATCTAACAGCACATAACCGACTTTTAATGGGGATCCAATCGATTAGTGCTGCCTCAGCTCTAGCGCTTAGTGCGACACCAACGCCAGCAAGACCAGACGAAGATGCCACAGGGTCCCCGGATAAACGCACGTAAAACAAGCTTTTTGAAGTGAAACAAGTAAAATGTATATATATATATATATATATAATGAAAATGATTATGTTCCCTACTACACTAGCGTTGAACTAACTTCAAATGATCGTTTTATCCTTTGAATATTCTCATATTTCAGTCAATCATCCTCTAATCTATTAGAGACTGATATATCGGATCAGCAGTTTGTGTTCAGTCAGTTCGCTGAAAATTCCGCTGTGGAATTTTTGTCTTGGTTTCATGATAATTACCGTGACCAGAGGTTATTACCACATTCAGCGGTGTATGACCTAGAGCTTTTTAACTCAGCCTTGTCAAACTTTTATTCCCATGCGGCCACTCGTGAATACATATTTGATTTATTGAGTAATACCAAACACTGTGTTTCTGTGGAAACCACGTCTACTTCAGATTCCCAACCGATTCAGGTATGTTCAACATCCATTTAATAATAGATTGCTGATTGTCGAAGTTATATAGTAACTTAAATTGTTTTGAACATTATATTATGATCAAGTAATTTTAGCATACCCATTTACAAAGCGTCCCAATAAACAAGCTATGTCCAAAAGTTATAAATGGGTATATGAACAGTCATCAAACATTATAGGTCTATAAGTATACACTTCATAAACTAAATGATTACTTCATATAATAGAATATTATTGTACAACTCATGAGACTGATTGTCATTTTACTACTCTAGCAACGTATCCTCAAAACTTCGTCAGTTTAAAGGATGTGTTTTGGCTTAATAGTTTGTTCAACTGGCTTTAGCAATATTTTTATCTCATCATCCAGTAATGCAGATATTTTATCATACGTTTTCATAATAAGAAATGAACAATAAATAGCAACTGATCGTCGTGGGCATCATAAATTCTTAGTATATATCCCTTTAATGAGATTTTATTTGTTTGTAACAAATAATTCCAGTATACTTGAATGGCTTGAAATGTCTTTGTTCTGTAAAATATTTCCCAATCAAAGAATAAGAAGAATAACCAAAATATATTTCACTCAGTTAAAAGATGTATCTAGCTTTTGTGAAGAATGCAGCAGATAATTATGATAGGGTTGTGATTGAGTTTTATGATTGTTAAGCCTCATCCATTGCATCTTAATGGACCAACACGATTTTTTGGGTTATACAACATGACCATTCACGCTCTTTTTTTCATTATCTCAGAGTCGGCAAATAATATGCTGTATGGAATCCTCTAGCGTGGCATTCGTAATTCATTTGTAGATAGCACTTTCATGTTTTAATAGTATGGTAGTTTTAGTGTGCGGCGTGGTAAAATAAAAACCAAGCTGTTCATTTATACTCGACTATCTAGTGTAGTATCTTTATTTTAATAGATCATTCGCGTTGGTGAAGATATTAATAGCCGACCGAACAAACCAACTAATTCAGACGCTGCGAAAATAGAATCGTCTGCACTGAGTGGGATTGTTCAACTCAAATCTACAATTAAACAACTTGAAAATGAAGAGAAAAGATTGGAAACTGTTATAGAACAACGTCGAAACCATATCAAGTCCTTATTGCTAGATAAAAGGTAAGTACATCTACACCAACTTATTCCTGACCGTAGCTGCTACCTTGACATGGTGGTCCGGCTTGCCTATCGTGATGACTCAACCGAGCTGTATTAGCTGGAGCACGTGTTCCTTTAGGTCCTACCGTGCCAGGTAGGTCTGTTGGAAAGTGGCAATACTAAAATCAGCAAGTTAAGACCCGAGGGCGAAGTCCATAACGTCAGTGACAATTGAACTGAACCATGTTCATAGGTTCTGATTCGACTAATTTATATTTTCTCGAATCTTACTACCACTCATTCTGTTACTACCTCAGCTATTCTGGGATATGGCATGACGATTTCATCTCGGTGTGCTAATGGGTTATGTCAACTTGGACCGCCGATGTACATTCATACCAGGTTATATGTTCTTAGTCACCCACACACTCATCGCTGGTTTATTAGAATTATAGCTATTAGATAACATTTTTTTAGTTGTTTAACTAGTTCTTCGCATTTACGAATATGTTTTTAATCTTACACTGTCTCTTGTTAACAGGAATTCAGAAGCAAAATCTCTATTACGTCGTACGAAAGTGTTAGAGAAATCTCTAGAACAAAAGCAATTACAACTTAATAATCTGGAAACAATGTTGATTGATATAGAATCCGCTACAGAAAACAGGAATATTGTACTTGTTCTAAATAGTGTCAATGAAGCTCTCAGACAAGCTGTAGGAGGATCTAATGCTTTGAGTAAAGCAGAAGGTGTAATGAATGACGTAATGGATAGAATTCAAGAAAGTCAAGAGGTAAATATCTTCGGTGAATAATTATTTACATTAAGAAAGCTTATTCATTATTTTTTCATGGTTTTCAATGCTTATATTTTTTTGTTTGGTTCACACTGAATCACCTGAGAAATTTTTCGACTCAATATTTTACTGCAGCTCAGTAACTAACTAAAGACTTGTTATTATCGCCTTTAAACCACTTTTTCTATGGAGATTAGTGACATTCACTCATAAGATCGAAGCATAATAGTCAGAATCACTTTCAAACGTGCTATTCAATGTTTGATATTTGAGTGATTTAGCCATTAATTCATTGTAAAATGTAATAATGCTATTTACAGGTATAAAGTCCTTGGACGAATTCTAAACAGTTCCAATCTAGGGATTCAAATGCCGATATTTTTTGCAGAGTTATCCCTTAGTAGTTACCTTTATGTTAGTTGTTGTATTAGGTCCCTTCCTTGCAGCTTAAAATTAAAGAAATGAAATGATACCTTAATTCCCTGAATATTCAAACATGTCTCCCGCATAAGGACTTTTTTAATTCAGCACATGCGCTCAGTACGATTGTTTTATGTGACAAATGTAACCATTTTGCACAGTACAAGACTCCATTCTTGACTTTGAGTTTCATTATCTACGTGAGCTGATTTTATATGGTCAGTCTTAACGGTTGATTATCTTAATCAAATACCCGTTAAAAATCAAAACTTATAGGGTTGTAAGGATTGTTAAATTTGATTGGAACCATGAACCGATCAATATTAGACCACAATGGGAAACCTGGAAGTAGTAGACAGGCGTCTCGTCCTAGTATGGGACTCCTCGGCAGTGTGTATTCACGATCCATCACGCTAGACCCGGACCTAGGACCTTGCGTTTTGCGCACAAATGCTTAACCTTCAGACCACTGAGTCGGTATCCAACGCTGCTAGTGTCTAACCTCAATCAGTCCACGACATTGTGCAACCATCTTCCATTGTCTACAGTGGGTAACTGCCTAACACCCGACACAGTTGAACCCCACTGATCTCTGCTTCTCTGATAACAGACCTTATCAATTTTGAGGTCATCATTTTTTGTTGTATAAGTAATCGTTGAAAAATTTTGGCATACAAACATAACTATTTTGAAGGGTTTAATAAAAATAACATTCATGTAAGTCATCTAATGAGTTAAATAATCTAATTGTTTTAAATTCATATATCTTGTTCATACATTGGTTTCACTTATGATTATTACTCAATAGTATAATCGTAAAATAATAAGAACTGTGTAAACCTTATCTAGAATAATATACTGTCTTTGTACCCTATAGTTACGAACTGTTCTCCCGTTTTGAACATTTTTCACGCTCATTATTCATCTCGCACAGTCTATAAATAGACCAGTTAGAAGAACGTCATAAAAGGCACTACTCATTTTTATAGGGATATCTTTTTTAACATGGTATTACTTTCCACGTACCTAAAAGTTAAAGAATATCCAACCATTAAGTATGTATGTTTGATTTTCTTTTTTTAATCTGTGTAACTTATCCTAAATGTTAATACACTTGAACCATTACGCATCTATTTACTATCTCCTAAATAGAAAAGTTCTGAACTTGTGATAAACATCATTATGTTCTTTATAACGTTTCACTTCTTCCAGATCTCAGATGTTGTCTCCAGTTTTGGACGTACCTCTATTGGACTGGAAGATATGAGCGATTTGGAACAAGAGCTTGACAGTTTCCTTGTTGAACCAAAGAAACCGTCACCTCCGGGGAAAACACAACCGAGCTTTGATGATTTAGAAGCTGAACTTGCTGCTCTTAAGTTAGTAACTGATGAGGTAGCATCATTAACTGATCAAAATTCACTATCTTCTAAACAAAACCGTGTCATCATTGATAAGTGAAGGATTTACTGAGATGTGACCATCGTTTTGATTCTATGCTATTTCAGCGTGTCTAATCTACACTCCTGAGCTTTCATATAAAAGTTCTAGTATAAAACGTGAGGAGAATATGCGGAATCTTTTGTATTGATTCAGAAATCCATCATACATATATGTAACTAAATATTTTCCAGATTTTTTTTCTTTTGTCTTTGTAAATTATAACATTTTACAATAATATACTTTTTTTATTTCAATAACTATAATAACTGCCGATATTATTTTAAACTATATTCTCTCCACTGGATTACAGTGTTTCTTATATGACATCACAACAAACATTAGAAACAATAACTGTCATTTTCATACTCTTAGTAGTCGACGCTTTTCTGCTTATGATATTTATATTCTAAGGATAAACATATTTCTAACCAAAAGATAGTAAAGCAAAGAAATAAGTGTCTTTTACTTGTTTTGTTTTACTAAATCAATTGGCGTTTGTTCAAATTGCACACTTCACTTCCTTTGGTAGAAGTTTACATTTACGGAGTATGTCTACTTTATTTAGGTCAAGATTTCGAATCTCAACTACACTTAATAGGTTCATTTTAGATACTAACAATTGCTTTATTCAATAATGTATACTTGGAAAAGTAAGGAATTCTGTGTATTCAGTTGTTCACTCATTAGAATTAAGTCAACAATTACATACTAGGGTAGGTAGGACGTATATTTCGTTAACATCATCACACGATAGAATCGGAGTCATAAATGGGCCACGATAAAGTTGTGAACCCTACTTAGAACTTAGGGAAACCTGCAAAATTACGTCAACGAAGAACCTTCCAAACCCCATTCATTCAAAGAACCCAGCGTAGCTAACGATATCAATCAATACTACTTCTACTACTTACAAGTAGGCAAAACATACTTGTACAATATTTCTAATTTGTATACCTGAATAGAGAATAATATGAATTCATTTACTTCGTGTATTCTCCTTAGCTGCTTACAACCTAAAACCTTAGTATTTATCATTAAAACGAAATAAGTTTACATACTCTGTTTGTCCTAGAAGTTTTAATGATAAATACTATGGTTTTAAGTTGTAAACCACCGAGGAGAATCCACGAAATAGATGGATTCATGTTATTCTGCTACGATATTTATTCACAAATATATTTGGTTGTGTCCCAAACAAATTTCCTGAGTTTTCATTCAAATAAACACGCCCTTATTAGCTATATAGATGAAGTTGATTGTGAGTCCTCCAGTGTAAACGTTTTTAACCTATGTAAATTTAGACACAATATCATATATAACGTAATTTTCATCTTTCCCTTACGCTTTCAACATTCAAAATAGTAGTTTTTACACACAATGTTCATTTTACGTTGAAAAGGGAACAATCCAGACAAATTGATAGAGTCTCTATAGATATTCTCTCAGAACTGATGTTAATCAATTTTTAAAAGCCATATTATTGAAAATGTAACCAGTTAACTCACCAGTAGGATTTCTCTAAATAGAAGAGGTATGGATGACATATGAGTAATATGTGATACGCGCTTTGATTTTGTTCAATGTTAAAATACACTTAATCAATCTACACTATGGTATCATATCAATCTCTAAATAAAGAAATGGTAATCATCTGCTCGCTATAAATATAGCTCTTAGTAAGAAGAATGGTGACTTGACAAAATGATCACTTTGTTGGAAGCTTACTTAGATAATATAATATATGAGCTTTCGCAATGTTTACCCACTAAAACATAAAATTGGCTCAGTAATATATCCGTTCCATTAAATTAATCGTTTTTGCAATCCAGATCCAATATGATATATTAAACTTCTGAATGAAATATTGAACAGATATTCAATGAAACCTACATAAAATTCACTTAGCACGTGAACCGTCAATCTATTCAGTCATAAAGTAATGTGTCTATATCATGTTAAGGTACAGAGAGAAGTCAAATTTGAAAGAAAGTTTGGAAAATAGTTGTCGAGGTAAAGAACTATATTGATTCCACATTAACTTTAGTAAACACTTTTTCGCACCCTATAGTGTTTATCAGTTTAAATGTGTACCTGGAAACATATACGGAGAACTAATCTAGCTATACGATCGATAATAGTAGAACGTGCGTTAAAAATGACTTCAGATCCAATTCAAATTGCAGTCTAAAACAAGCTCAAAGCACTGAAAAACATTCCTCTCCAAAGCTAAACGTATAATTTTCTAAGGCCCTAAGATTCACTGCTTAGAAATTGAAAGGTATTTTAGGCTCATTGTCAAATTTGTGTTCATAGATTTATTAAAGCTTACCATGAGAAACTTCAAGCCTCCTTAACAAATTATTTCTTCACGAAACCTGAACTAAAAATCCTTACTCAACATTTAATGTCAGGGGTTTCGCGAAAACGTTTTCTAAAGTTCTTTCAAACTCTCTTGATTAATAAATGTATGGTCAGATTGCTCAAAACGTACATCAAATTTTCTTCAAAACCCTTTTATTTTGGTGTTAAAAAGTATCATCTATGAAAATACCTAATAAACAAGTTGGTTCATATCAGGAATTTACTATAAGTATTGTTTATTCAAGCAAGAATTTCCATTGTTTCAGTAAAACGAGTGTTTATATTGGAAAAAGATGTAATTTTGATACCAGTTTGTAAAAAAAGCTGTTTCATATTCCTCACAGTAATACTACATTTTGATCGGTTCAAATCTAAATTGAACGACTTACTATAAGCAGCATTTACATATACAATTACTTTTGTAGTTGTGTGAAGATTTTGTACTATCCATGCATAGATACCATCATGAAATTACAGAAGCCTGGAAACCACTGAAAATCAAAGAGAACTGGACAGCTGTTTAATCTAATTATGGAGTTTATCATCATTGCGTTCTCACGACCCCACATATGAGTAAACTTGGAGAATTTAGTTTCTAACGTAATCATCATATTGATGAATCAATTAACTGGGATCTAGTGGTTCATTTTAACTTTTTTCAATTATTGACATCATACAATACACATTCAGGGTTATCGACAAGTTAATGTTTCCCCAATAATTTGATTTATCTTATAAACCATATGTTCCACTGTGCTTGTAATAAGCTGATTTCAAAACCGGCCGTTAATACATTCAGATATCTAAGTTTTCTAGTCGATATCGGTTCATGAAAAACTAATTTTTAGTTTAAATCCTTTTCCAATAAAAATAAGCATACAAATTTTTAGTCAGTTGGATGTAATAAAAACTAAATTATTGACTTAATAAAATCCTGCTGATTAGGAGTACAAAAAGTAAAATCATTGTCTTTAATTGCTTTTTCTTGATGATCAGTTCTCCAACCGTTATAACAGAGATTGTAAGCATTTCATTAATTATGTTTATCACAGCTTGATCTCAGTTAGGATACGACTGAAAACCAACAAGTGACTGAACAGTTGTTTTGCTCCAATATTAAATCCTTCAGTATTACACTCCTACGATCCCACTAGGAATTAAATCCCTAACCCTAAAAACAACTCGTTTGTCATCTTATGAAACAATTCCAAGTTAACTTATTCTGTGATTAACTATTTCACTGCCGACATATGTAAACATATTAATTACTTGTTTAAAGATCCCTATCATATTAAAAGACTAATATTTGAATGAAGAATATTCTTTTCGATAAATTCTCTTTAGGTTCTACAATTGTATATCCAAATTAATAATCCGAAAAATAGACAGGTTAAGAGTAAAGTGTATCATTTAAAGTAAAAGCGTATGAATTTAGGATTGTCAAACAAAATATAATAAAATAAAGTTGACATGATTCATATAGAATGATAACTTGAATCTGCATATATGTTAAGTGAAAATGTAAGATCCATGAACAGAATAAATATGGGTCAGATAGGGTGAGAGAAATAATAGTGCAATTACAATTCGATCAAATATTTAATGAAAGACTATATTGTGTAAAAAAGGGCTATTAGTAAGATGGGATGAATGAGAAGTAAATCAATCATGTATTGGGAAGATTAATAATAATGTCTGTGAATAAAGATAACAGAGACAATAGGTAAGTGGTACAATAGTTAAATTAGGTCATTCAATATCTAAGATTACTATTGATTCATTGGCCTTGAGGTTGGCCAGGGGAAGAGAAGTGGTTGAAGATATCTTTTTATACGCATAGCTCCGGTTTCTTAATCCGAATGGCTACTACTTTAGCCGTTTGAAGGACTTTAAGTCTGACAAGCTTTGGCAAAAGTTACTGACCTAATAAATAATTGAAAGGGACTGGTTCATATTGGCACTATGACCAGTTTGCACTAAATGGACCAATATCGAACTGTTCACTTCACCAGACCTATGCTTAGCCATGCTGGGAGGTGTTCGCTAGCACGAAAATGTAAATCCCTAGAACTTCAACCAATAAAGCTTGCTCCACAAGAACAGTCGAACTGATAAATACAAATTGTGGTGGTCATTCTAGGTGATCTTTTAGCCTCAGTGTCACCATTGAGCACGTAGAAAACACTGATCGTAGTTCTCCGGCGTTGAAAGATTTTTGGATTGTTCTGCGTAATCTCTGAGTTAATATTTCACTAACCGTATCCCCTATGAATTATAGGCACATGAACAGGGATTCCTTATTCACTGTTTGTATTTCGCCCATTCTCACCTTCATGATTATATATTTAATTATAAACTTCTTGGATATTCGTCTTCCCCAAATAATTTTCCGCAAGTTGTTTAGCTCTTCTTCGACTATATCCGTAGAACATATAGGGCATATTCGATAACTAAAAGTTTTGATTAGGTTTATTTTGTACTGTAGTGGTACAAAGCTAAGGAAATGTGTGTACCACTCTGTCCAAGTATTTATCGAAAAGAATATTCTTCGTTCAAATATTAATTACTTTAATGTTAATTATTAAACGACGTAATTGAAAATTCGATGTCACTACTATCCATTCTTTTTCTTAAATTAATTTCATTACATGACTGGAAAAATTGTAATTTACATGTTAAATGACTCAAAATGTATTATGATATCTTAAATTATATAAGTATACGGTGTTAATTTCAAGATCTGTGACTAGTAAAACCATAGTAAAATTAACATTAATCCAGCCTACTTAGAAATAAAACACGCTAAAAGTTATTAAGATCAAATATAATATTTCTAAGAAGTGGAATATAATTAAAAATCAGATCAAGATGATTAGAATATAAACAGGATCACAAACACTTTTAACTACATTCCAAAACATCACAACGTGATGTTTTTGTGACCCGGTATCTGACCCTATTTAGATCGTATGAATGATCGTTATGGAATGATTGCTATTGAAATACATGTCACCAATCCATGTATATAATTATAGACTTAAATCGTAGTGGTGAATAACGGAATTAAATAAGTCAAATACAAGAATGAATTTTCGAATT